ATATGCCTCAAATGATAGGATGTCTTCCCAAAATGTTATTGTATCCCCAAATAGGAAGGTTCCAAAATCCTCTTCCAATAATAATTCATACATGCAGGTTTTAATAGAAAAGAGAAAAAGATTCAGAAAAGCTGCCACCATTGGTTCCTTTGATTCATTGTCAGGTGCCTCATCTTCAGATTTTACTATGAACTCTTCTAGAAGAACTAGTCTACCTCTACAGATGACAGGGAACAAAAAACCAAAAGTTCATGTAAGTTCAAGAGACAAAAGATTAAAATCTTTCCGGAAACAACATTCATTACCACTTTCACTGGAAACACTGGTAGAGGAAGATGAAGGTCAAAGATCTAAGCACCAAAGCTTTACTAGTTCTGATGACCAATCTAATGATGTTGGAGATAGAAACATCAGTGCTGACATAGGCATAACTCCTCATTCTGTACAGACTTTGAATAAGAGACTTGCAAATTATGTTTCTAAAAATGGAGAAAATATGAATAAACAAGTAGAAAAACCAGGAAATGGAAATATTCGTCCAGAACATGATCCATCTGGTTTAAATGGTGCCTGGAACCTTTTTGATTTAAAAGAATCTGAAAATGGTCCCTGTAATCAAGATAGATTTTCCCCTCCAAGCTTGATAAAATGTACTGTTGAAACACAAACACCAATTGAAAACATTGATGTAAAAGATGAGATTGGAATTGATGAAACAAAAATCAAGATGATTGATGCTATGACGCAGACATCATTTGGAAGTGAATCAGCTAGACCGTCACTATCGAGTTTGAAGGAAAATTTCAATCAGACAATTGAAATTTCTGATTGTGATGATGAAGATGCAAGCTATGATAATGAAATCTTTCATTTAATTGACAGTACAAAATCTCCCCCAGATAGATCTGTACAGACCCTGTCTATAGATCTTTCACCAATAGACTGGAGAGACACTAATCTAAATAATCTAGACATCCATTTGACTAATGATACTGACACAAATTCTGATGCAGCATGCGAGTCAAGATGTGGCTGTCGCAGCATACCTGCTCTCACCCATGAAGATACTATTCAAAGAGAAGATGAGGACTATGGTGAATATTTTGACAGAATTCTAAAAAAGATAACTAATAGCCAACAAACAACTGAATCGCTTGAAGGTAACTTAGATGATTCCTGTGATGAGTTTCCTTTAAAACATTCTCTTGATTCACCAAATTCACAACAAAAACGACTGTTGATTCCTGATCCTGGATTGTTACATGGATTGTATCAGACAAATTGTAAAACAATTGATAGCAATCACGGCTCACCTCCTAACATCGCTTCCTCAGGCACCTCAAGAAGGAAAATGGGAAAACTTAAAAAGAAATCTGTGAAAGCAGAAAGTAATCCTAAAAGTAACCATTTGGATGTGAATAGAAAATATTATTATAAAACATCATCTATGTCATCAGGAAGAATAACACCATCTGTTGATGACAAAAGTCATTCAATATCAAGTCCGAGTAAGAAATCCACACGGAAGAGACGGAAAAACATTCGTAAACAAGCAAAGATGGGAAGTGTGAAAAGTTCATGTGAGAGCGACGGTCAATCACTTACCACCCACAGTAGCAGATTGTTTCAAGGGAAATTTTTTTATAATGATTCTCAAAGACATAGCAACTACCAAAATAGTAATGACATTTCTCAAAGAATGTCGCCAAATATGTGCAATGATCACTCTTGTTTACATTGTTGCTATTGTCCAAGAAGTTGTTGCATTGTGAATAATTCAAGAAATCGCAAAAACCGCACAAAAGGATTCCATGATTCTGAAGGTCAGGGCATCTGCAATTGCACAAAAACTGACTCTTATTCTCCATCCAGTTCTCCAAATAGACATTTTCAGAAAGAACGGTCAGCAACAGAGAGCTTTTTAAGTTGTAATAAAAGCAGCTCTGCCTATGAGGGATTATTTAGCTCCTCCTGTGGTGATTCAAGAAAGTTACAATATCATTGGACAATTGAAAATAGCATTGACGATGAAGAGACAATAGAAAATAATTGGTTGGTAGGCGACTTTGACGACTCAGATAATGATGTAACTGATGACAACTGGGATCTGACCTCTGATGAGTCCAGCTGTCCTGGTGTTACTAGTGCCTTTTCCTATTCCTTGGCTCAACATCACCAAACATTGTTGCCTCAGTCTCCCCAGATATCCACTATGGAGATCAATATACAACAAAGTGACAGTTCTCCAGATACGAGTCAGACGTTTCGATCAGAATTGTTTTTCGAAGTTCCTTCATATTGTGATAAAGTCACCAACGTTACACTTTCTTCTCAAATCTATCTTCATCTGCTTCCAACAACACCAGTTAATGATGCACCAGATGTTAACATCAAAACCCAGTCTCCATCAAATAGTACCACACCATTGGTAGTAGACAATGCATTTTGTGAGTCTAAGGCTGACCTGGTAATACTACTGTTGGTTTAAATTTTTTTACAAGACCTTTTTTTTCATTGATGTCGCAGAATATTCTAGAATAAAGAAAACTTTCATTAGGGCGAGGATATGGATGTTTAATGAGAGTAATAACTATAGCCTTCACATTATTAAGCTGGAGATGCATTAGATAGATTAAATGGACAAATGATTTCTGAAAATCAATTAAAAACCAATTTCATTAACAAAATGATGTCAACTATCCAATTTCATAACTTGCGTTCATTTAATTTCTCTTAAAGTTAAGCTAAATGTATTTTAAAAAAGGTAAGTTTTTTAATTGATGACGTGAATATTAATAAGTGAAAAATGATACTGAACTGTTTTTCTATGATGCTTTACAGAGTCATGCTTTACAGAGTCAGATCCAGGGGGAGCAATGGGGGTGGGGGGAGGAAACAGGGCCACTCCCCCTCAAAAAAAATTTTATTTACCAGTTTCTAAACAGAATTCCCCACCACCTACAGTGTACATTTTTCTCTGGATCCATCCCTCCTTTATACCTGAGACAAATCAAGTCTTAGTCTCTATATCATTGATACAAATTACTTGGCAATTAACCATTGAAGTCCCATTATTCTATGCATTTCCTGAGTACCTCTAACGTTTTTCTAAATGTATCGGGCAGGATTTTCAAGATAATTTATATTTATTAGGTAACCTTCATCTACTCCGAGGAGATTTACTCTCATGTCAATTTTTTTGTATTTCGGTTCCAGCATGCTCATAATATCAGTAAATTATCAAATTACTGGTAATGACAACAAAATTCAAGTTACTCGGTATAATCTATCCATTTTAAAATTCCATAATTTTCTTTACAAAAAGTAATTTGCATATCATCGTGGTACTATATAATTGCTGCAAATTCTTTGATTTTTTAAAAATAATATATGATGCGTTATAAGTGAAAAACAAATTGAGGTTTTGCTTTTAAAGAAGTATAATTTTAAAAGAATAATGATAAAATTAATTATATAAAATAGATTAAGTAACTGAGTTAATTCTGAAATACAAAAAAACAAAACCATTATTTTGATTAAAACATTTTTATATTCAATGTTTAAATAGTAATTAATTAATGCAAACAATTCAAAATACTAATCATAATTTTTATTTATTGTTTAAGAAATTATAATTATTTCCACTTAATTGAAACAGATAAAGAGAAGTTTAAAGTAGGTGTGAATTAATCAGGCCTATATCACAATTTTGAAGACAGTTTTGTCTTTTTTTAATATTCTGTATCAATTAATAAATGTTAATAGTAGATATGGACACATTACACATCCATTTCTTCATTAGAAAGTTGCCTAGCAATTTAGCCATTCTAACAAAAAGTGGTTCAAGGTCATTTTTTGAATCATTTTAAAAGATAATGCAGGCTTACATTATATCTTTAAATGTCTATTTCTTGTCTACTTACCTTGATAAATCAACGATTATCAATGATCACTATGCTACACCATAGGAAATAAACACTTACTGCAAAAATGACAGTCGGTTAACCTACTTAAGTAGATATCGTCCTAACAAATTTATTGTTTTTCTTGGCCTAATTTGAATTGTTGCTTTTTTTCTTTCTTTCTTTTTTTTTTTTTGGTTGTGTCTTTGTCCTATTTTGTCCATGTCCTCTTTCTATCTGTCTTTTCAGTTGTGTCTGTCCGGTTTTGTCCATGTCCTCTTTCTTTCTGTTTGTTTTTTGTGTCTCCTTTTTGTTTCAGGCTGACTTGTCACAAGATTGTTTTTTCCTGGGTCTGTGCCTTTTTCCTTTTCCCCTGAATTGTTATAATTCTGTTTTTTATTTTTGTTTGCATAAACTGGAAAAGGAATGAAATAAACGTTACTCTGAATTGAACTGATGTACAGTTACGCTCTCATTTTCTGGAACATTAGCTACAGTATCCAGGGAGGGTCGGGCGGTGGCTCTGCTAAATGGGTTCTTTAATAGAAAATGTGCTGGGGTATCCTTGCAACATGGAAACTCATACACTTTCTCCACAGATGTAACCAGTCTCGGGTTTGAATCTATGCTTTTGCATGCAATGTGAGCATACAATATTGAAAACACTCCCACACATGATTATGACCTAATAGTATTTTGTGTTGCCCAAGCTTAAACAACATAAAATCTTTCAAATGTAGGATCATTTTCAAGCTTTGAATAATTATTATTTTGATGTTGTAATGAATTTTGGCCTAGTGTTTAACAGAATAGAAAATTTTGATGTGAGCTTGCATGAGGAAAATATAGGAGTGATGTTTTGTACTACCTAACATGTTATCCTACCGAACACTCGTTTCCAAATACTTGCAAAAGAAAATTGCAAGTAATTCGGATGGAAATCAAACCTACGACCTCCAGATAACTAGCCTGGTGTCATAACCACTAGACCACCACATGGAAAAACTTAACCAACTATGATTTCCAATTTGTACTAAACTTGGGCATATACAACAATTATTTTGTGGGTGAGGGTAATTCTTATTCATTTCTTCGTAGAAGTCGGTCTTCAAGTGACTCATTCATCAACATTAAGCAGGGTTTGGACAGTAGATCGCTTGGACATTCTGGAAGCAAAGGCAGGCCACATGGGTGGAGTAAATATGATGAGGTCAACAGAAGTAAGAAAAGCGCCCTCAAGAAACAGGGAATCTCAGTACCAGGAAGGTTTCATCAGAAAAATGAGCTTCCGCCTTCTGATGAAATAGTGAGTAGTTGTCAGTGGTGTTTCTAGGAGTATTTGAATGCACGGAGGGGTGATTGGTGGTTGGGAGGGTAGGGGCGATTGTTAAGTCAGGGGTCAATGTTTATGAGAGCGGATGTCAGCTGGTAAACTAAGGTGATGTTAGGTGATTTTTAATTATTGAGCTTAACTTTTTTGGTCTTTAATTTTTCCTGTGGAGGCACCACTAGTTGCAAGCTTTTTACTGCATTATGCCATAAAAAAAAGGAGGGAAAATGCCTTTTTTATTTAAATATCTTAAATGACATGCTTTCTCCTCAGTTACTTGAAGAAGATGCATTAACTTACCAAGTTTCTAGCCTCAAAAATGAATTGAATGACATCAATATGAAGAAAAAGGTGACAAATATGTTTGCAAATCGAATAATTATTATGTACATTTACTGTATTTTATTTACTTATATGTCCGTCTACAGTGAAGAATTACATGTTTTGTGATAGACTAAATTAGATGTTTATGATTAATTTTTATGTCAAATGTATTTATTTTTTATTGGTTATTATATAATAATAATAAACAAATGTTCATTATGTAAATTTCATGAAAAACACTTGAATTATGGCACACATAACTTTGTAGTGCGTCCTTAAAAAAATGATTACATAAGAAAAGCAATAGCAAAGCTAAAATAATATGTAATCAAATGTGTTCTGATCTTAAAAATAGAATGAACGTTAATATACAAGTATTTTTATACACTGAAATAGCATTCATTGTTTAGGTCTACACCAGTTCAACTATTGCTATTCTTTTCTTCGATTACATATGAACACGTCCAAAACTACTAAATATGAAATAAACTGGCTGACTTTGATTATTTTTTTTTTTTTAATTTGTTTTTATAACCAGATACTTGTAATTCTTTTTATGATATTTGTTTACATTGCCATATCAGATTGCATTGGGAGAATTGAAGATGTTATTAGACTCTGTTCATCAAAACAAGAACGATATAAAGAAAGCAGATGAAGTTGTTCGTCAACATTTAGAGAAAGCTGATGCTGCAAGGTAACAATGAAGACAAAACAATTTTATTATATATATATATACTTAAGACCGTCGTATGACGAATCTAACTTTGCTCTATGTGAGATTTCAACCTGGTTTCTGCCTATGTACATAAAGCTGCTACTTAATTGATACCGTAGGTCTAAATATTGGTTTTTTTCCAAGAAAGTTTTTTTTTTTTTATTCATAAATATAAAAATTTTTTCATCAAATTTTTGATCCTTTTAATTATTTTTTTTCAGAATTCCAGATTTATATTTAAGTGGACCAAGCACAAAGCACTTTATAATTATAGACTTTTTATTTCATAAATTCTAATTTTTTTTATCATTAAAATGTATTTAATCAGGTCAGAGCTAATGGTTTTGGAATTCCAACGAGACCAAGCACAACGTGAATTGCGAGACGTGGAAGAGGAGACAGCCGCTAAGGGAAGGACCCTGCAAGAACTTGACAGAAGATCCTCACATAATAGCCGGGAAGATCTTATGAAGTTAGGCCTCTCAACTGCTGAGGTATAGCTCTTATTTCTGCTTCTACTATGTCCATAAATATATAAATCTGCTTACTTTTTAATGAGAGCAACTTAGCTCAGTCAGCTAAACTGTTGGTAGACACTGTGTGTGTGCTGAACCGTGGAGATCTCTAGGTTCCTGGTTCAATTCCCATCGCTGCTCTCCCTGTGTTTCAGGTAAAGGGCTGAAATACAAGTTACGATGGCGCACGTCTTTCGGATTAGACGTTTAAACTGTTGGTCCTGTGTGTCCTGTCCTGTATACATGGTACGTAGTACACTCTTCGGAAAAGTGTAGGGGATTGTCTCCCAGTGTACCACCCAATCACCACCGGAAGGAGCCCGACGGAAATAGTTCTTTTCAGGCTTTTGTGGGTTAGCTTTGGTGTGTTTACACCGAATAAATCCATCCAACCATTCCTACATTTTTTTAAATTATAATTTGAGATAGACTAGAGAGTACAATGAGCATTTTTTTTAATGGTTACAAAATGAGCATTTTTTGATGATTGTGATTTCCTAAGCTTTGGACTTCATTTCTATGTCTGTAATTACTTCTTTGTTTCTCTGCCTAAATTGGGGCTTAATTTCATTTCTTTTGAGACCAGGGTTTCCATGGTCTTTCGTAGCTTTGGTCTCTAATTAAAATAATAAATATAAAAGACATTTGTTAATTTGGGACCACAGAAACATGGTCTTTAATTGGAGGTGGTCTCTAATTGGAGCGGTCTTTAATTGGGGTGAGACTTGTATAACCAGTTTTGGGTTTTAAGCTCTGTCCACACTGTCATATTTTTCTTTGACAAAAACCTGTTGTATGCCCATATGTAGTCATGATGTGTCCATATATGGTCATGATGTGATGTCATCATGTCTATATTTAGGCATGTCACATACTTTTGTCAAATAAAATTTGACAGTCTATGGACATTTGGATGAGAATAATTTGACATATTGTACAGTTAAACTTGCCTAAGTCGACTGTGCCCAAGTCGAATAATTATTTTACATGCCAAATTGTTGTGCTTTCCAATAACAATCTGTAAGTTGAATTTCATCTAAGTCAAACAATATTTCAATGGCATTTTGGATTCGACTTAAGCAAGTTCAACTGTACTTCTTAAATATGTTATAATCGTAATCATTGTCAGTATTTTTTAACACCTTACATATCACTCATGCTGAGAGTTAGAATAATTCTCTATCTATCCAAGATAGACTATGTGTTATGCAACTTTCCATGTAATATCAAATTCTGTTCATGTTATACCAAAAAGTAAGCTAAATGAAGTTATTTAATTAACTTTTCTAATGTTATTATTGTTTATTTTTCTCACTGTTATAATAAGTTATCATTCTCATATATATTTTTGTAATAGAACAATGAAGCCTTTTAGCATATAATAATTTGTTCATCTCAACGTAACTAAAAATTACAATTATATATCTGACTCAACTGCCAACAATATTAGTAAATCCTCAAAGTTGTTATTTAATGTGGTATGATTCTTATCGTCTTCAAATTACAGATTATCGCTCTTGTTAAGGAACGGGATGAGTTGAAAGAACGAGTTCGTCACAGTGAAGGAGGAATGTCGGAATTAGAAAGAACTGAGATGCAGAGACAATTAAGTCTCAGTAAACAAGAGCTATTTGCTGAACAGAAAAATTCCAGGGAGAAAATTGACAAATTTAAAGAGGTATATTCAAAACAATATGCCTGTGTATTATTACAATATTTTTTATGAATCTGCAGGAATAATTGAATACATATATTAAGGGCTCATGCACAATATAACAATGCCCATACGGAATACAACAACTGACCATATAAAATATGGAAATTGGTCATATATAGGAATAAGGCCAAATAATTATTTTTATTCTTTGGTTTATTATTGCAAACACATGAAAACATAGGCATATACATATAAAAAAAACATTAGGATAGGAAGAAAAATAAAAAATTCTGAAATTTTTCCTAATTTACAAAAGGGCAAATTGATAAAATTCAAATATAAAAATATAAATTGTAGTAAAAACAAAATTAGTTACAAAAGAATATATACAAAAGAATTCAGTACTGACATTAAAATCTGACTACAGTTAAAAATGTTCAATTACACAAGGAATTACAAAATCGTAGTGCTCATATTGCATAATGTTTTGGAATTTTGCTATGGTTGATTCAGTTAATCGTTTTAATGTTCTTTGCAATAATAAAAAAAAATTATATATATACAGTATATAATATCGCTGTAGAGAAATAAACCAAGAAATAAGATTGCTATAGTATTTTTTTAAATGGAACTGCAAGGGTAATTATATACTGAGTATATGGGGCTTGCAATGTCAAAACTCGCATCAGTGAAAAAAACAAGAAAATTGACTTTTTTAATATATTCATATTCTTCACATCATAAGCTTTAAAATGATGGGTCATTTAGTAGAATCGACTTAGTATTGCCAAAGTTATGAGTAAAAGTATTAGGGCTTCTCTGTACTGAAGTATACAATACTACCACATTCAGTTTAACATTTAGCGACAGTACACTAGTTATGAGAAGGCAAGCCTCATACATGAAATATGAATCATTCATAATTTTATTATTCATTGTAATATAATTGCATTCATCAGTGAAGTTCATTAAAGCTAATGTTACCACCATGTGCATTGAACCATGGAGATTTTCTATTCTCTGTTTTAATCTTGTATTTCACCTAGAGAACTGAATTATAAATTATTCAGCACTTAGTTTATTGATCGAACAGATATACATTCTGACATTATTTTTTCATCAGGAATTAGAAGAACAGCATCATAAAGTGGAAGAACTTGAATATGATCACGAAAAAGAAGTGAGGCAGTTTGAAGAGAAGGTTAATGACCTGGAAAGCAAAGCGATGAAGCAACTCACAGTAAGTTGGTATTATCTTTTTAAGTATCTGTGTATGTAAAGCTGATTGGTTGTTAGATTGATTGATTTTATTTGATATTCCACAATAGTACAATTATAATAAAATACAAGTACAATTATTATAAAAAGCATGATATCAGGATATCCCATTAAGTCGGCATTTCATTTCATTTCAATGTTTTATTTCAAAATCAAATCAACATACAAAATAAAGTAAATTAAATAGAATATCGTTGTAATATAAAGATTTTATTAAATAAGCAGTTTTAAAATAAAGTTAATACATGTGTCATTGAAAATTAAAAAAAGGGTTAAACAAAATATGTAAGTGAAAAATACAGATGCCTTAAAGCATGCTCTCCTTAAAATCAAGTAACCAAGTTTGCAGTAGATGATTAAAAGCATTACAGGAGGCCGACTTATTTCCAAAGGGGTCCAGACCATTAAAATCAGAAAAGTGAGTAGTTTAAATTAAAATGGTGAATTACAAGTCAGAAAAGTCAGAAACAAACAAACAGAAGGCCAACAAAAAATTTGATACATGACAATAAAACACTGATTTGCTAAGTCTTTAGTTGTTCATTATTTAATTATTCTTGAAGTTTTATCTTGAAAGTTGCGTTAAGTTGGATTTAAGTGAGTTGGGAAGATAGTTCCAATCTTAAGAAATAAAATGTTGAATTGTTTAACTCCGGTAGCCTTAGGAGGGACAAAATTGAACTGTTTACATCTGGTGTTATGACTGTGAATGTCCACTATTCTTAGAAAGTTATCCTTCATGAAAGGAGGGGAATTACCATTATAACTTGAATAATACCAAATGGAATACTTTTAATTTGTTAAAGTGTATTGAAAGTAGAAAAATAACCAATGTCATTTGGTTGTTTTTTTTTTTAGAAGGTTAGCCCCTCATGTATGCAATTTAAATATTTTATAATTTTTGTTAGTATAATTTTGCTTGAATTAGATAATTAAATATTTTGATAAAATGACAGAAATTAAAGAAATGTTTTTATGTTCCTGAAGTTAAAGGAAGGAAGAGGAAAGGAAAAAAAAAAACAAGTAACTGTTAATTATGTTTAAGATGAGCTATATATATATGATAGGTACTCATATTAAGTTTTTCCTTTTTGACCTATGTTGTCTTGCCTTAAATAATTTCTGAAATTAAGCATTATTACCGACTTTATCTAAGAGATATTTTTTGTTCTGTAATGTCTTTTCTTGTGTGAAATGAAATTGCAAAAAAAAAAATACCATTGTAAAACAATTTTATAAACATGATTCAATCTTAAAAACATGTTTCTAAAGCCGACGTTAAGTAATCCTAGATAGGAAAAATTCTTTAGCGCCGATGTGAAATCTCGGCCCTACATTTAAAATAGAGTGTGCCATCTTATTTTGGGCTGTTTGCAATTTATGTTTAAGAGTCTTATTTACAACACAATACCATGCTGATGCCGAATATTCAAATATGCATTATATTTAAGCAGTGCTTAACAGTTTACAACAATTTTTGCACGAAGTTTGTGTAAAAACCTCAGCCTTGTCTTAACTTTACTGATAACACTGGTTGAAATTATATCACATGATACATGTTGGTCTAAATCTATACCTAAATATTTAACCTTTATTTCCACCGTAAAATCTTCAACTTGTTTGCCTCTCTCTGCTTCCAAGATGTAAAGATAATTTTTTTTTTGGTTAACCTCTCTTGCCACTTAGCATGGACATTCTTTAGTTTTTTAGCAATTTTTTTTTGGCTTCGTGATGGGAATATAGAATCGTAGAATCATCAGCATATAACAATAATTTAACATCTGAATCAATACATGAAGCCATATCATTCAAATAGCATAAAAAAAATTAGGGCCCAAGATGCTACCTTAAAGCCCCATTCCCGGCAAAATTTCAGTTTTTAAGAAAAATCTAATTTTTGTATAATGTTATAAAGATTTATAAATATACTACGGAATTGCTAGTTTAACTGAATTTAGACATTCCTAAGAATGAAAAAAATGTAAAATAAGACTGAAATTTGATTTTTTTTTGTGTTCCACACAAAAAATAAATGCGGATGAATTTTTCATGTTGATTTAATGCGGATGAATTTTTCATGTTGATTTTGCGATAGGTCGTGAGAAGAAATATCGTAGGCGCCGAAAACATTAGCAAATTAGCCTATCCAATGCTGCTAGGCTAGGCCTAGCCTTACCTCAATTTAGGTTCTGTTATCACACATAAAAACGGCCGACATGATATTTTCCATTGCTAGTATTGACACTTGTGAATATAATACTTCATAGGAATTATTTCAAATTTGTTAAAAAACTGATTCTGACTGAGATTTTGACACTTAAACAAACATATCTCAGCCTAAGCGAACGACCGCATTGTGCGAGATGCAAAGTACAAAAACTAATCTCATTAGAGAGGGCGCACTTTATTGACTGTATAAAGTATACATAAAAGCGAGAGTATTCCAGTGGATGCGATCTACAACCTCTGAATTTGCCTAGTAACGATGAATTCGTCCAGAAAATGGTAATATTTTATGAGAAATAGTCTGTATTTATAATGTTTTATAATAATTGGAGTAATGCAAATGCATAGTTTCTGAAAAAAGTCAGTTTTTAGTGAAATTTTGCTGGGAATGGGGCTTTAAGGTACACAATGGGCAACTCTTCATGGTTCAGAGCATTTACCATTAACACAGACAACCTGTGTACGATTTGCAAGAAAAGATTAAAACCACTCGGTAAACTAAATCCCATGCATTTTATCTTGTTAAGCAAAATCACATGGTTGACGGTGTCAGAAGATTTTTGCCAATCAATTAAAACCATACCAGTAAGTAGGCCTTTAGACTATTGGTTTATTAAACTGGCCTGTATGACAGCAGTTTATGTGAGCACATCCATCTTTAAGGAAAAACAAATATGGAATGAAGGACTGGACAAGAAATAAGATTCTTCCTATGTTAATTTGTAAATTATTTTATATTTAGTGAATACTTATCTGGAAAAACTAATGATTACAGAGCCAAACCAAGGCAATATATATACACAGCCCAGGTGTGAATGCAAATAGTGGAATACAAGCTATGTGGCTCGGTTCCAGTAGATACAGAGAATATTTTGTCACTCTATATATATATATGTTGACAGTGCTTCTCCATTTTTGGTTTCGGAGGGTTGCTAATCAAGCTATAAATAAAGATTACCTAAGCACTTAAATTGTTTATTGTAGAAAAAATACAGGAACTATCTATTCAAATCAATATTATAGATGAATTTTTATTATATATTTTAAATGTTTTCTGCTTTTTTTATTTATCTTCTCAGTTTAAGGGATTTTTTTTTTTTTTTTAAACTAAATGTCAGTGTGCTAAATTTATATAAATTTAAGTCAGTGGCACTCATCATAGGATGACAATACAGTCTGCATGTTTTTGGTATTTTTTTATTAATGTAATAATTTTATGGATTTTAAATAGTGCCTTTCATTGTCAAAACACTACAGCAGAACAAACTTCTCAGCAGCATCCAGACGACTTCAGCCCCACCTTGGTTTTAACTGATGTTGTCAATTTCTTTGTGACATGCAGTATGTCACCTCTAAAGGCAAGAAATGGCACTCCCTTGTGGGTGGGATGGGGAGCTGACTTGGCCCCCTTGAATCTCCTTCCCCTTATAACTGATAATATCTGCTCTACAAAATCCAACATTCTTGATAGAAAAACACTGAGCTGTCTGGACAGCCACTTGAAGTTTTGGTTTTAGGATACTATTCCTTCCCTATCCCATCACACTATAACTCTTATCTTATCCCTTTAACCTGCCATTTAATCTCTACTTTCATCCTTTACTTTATTCACCATTCCTTTAACTGTTCCTTATTTATGAGTGATTCTTTATGATCCTTAATTTATTCTCCATATAATAATTTATAGGAGAAAAATGACATCATAGAAAACCTGGAAAGGAACCAAAAGCAGGAGATGATAAAGATGGAGAAAGCATACACCAAAAAAGAGCAAGAGTGTAATGCCCTGAATAAAATCGTCCAAGAGAAACAAGAAGTGTATGATGCACTAAGAGAAAAACTATATGGCCTCCAAGAAGAGCTTTCAAAGTCTAATGAAACAAGAAACCAAATTCTTCAAGAAAAAGAACAAGTTGAAAGAAATATTGAGATTGAAAAACAAACAGCTTTACTGGAATTGAGAGATAATTTATTAAAGGAAAAAGAAGTTGAACTTGAGAAGGTAAAATGATAATGAATAAGAAGATTTAAGTAATGCACACATAAATTTTATAATATAGAAAACAAGTAAACCATCTACAATTCCTAACCCAACAGGTTGTTTCTAAATAAAATCATGACATTAATTGTACCGTATCAAAAAATACTCATTATGAATTAATTTCAGAGTAAAGGAAGGCAATAGCTATGTACTATTTTGTTTTTTAGTTCTTATAAATATTTTTTTATGAATTCCTCATTAAATACCTTGTGGTTATCTTTTGTGCATGTTTTTACTTTCTTATAATTCTTTTCACATATACAGTATGTCACCCACCCTTTCATATGGCATGCATCCTAGCTTATGATAACCATCCTTTAATATATGGCCCCAACCATACATACAGGGCCGCCAAGAGGGGAATCTGTAACAGGGGCAAGGGTTGGTATGGGCCCCCAGTTACAATAGCGTCAAAGACGCAAACATTGTTTTTGAGGGGCCCTGTCAATATGGAGGGGCCCATTATTAGGAGACCCATTCCATTATTGAGGGCCCATGATTGTAATTATTATTGTTGAAAAAAATATGGGAAAAAAATGTTACCTGCAATTTCTATGGTCCCCAGGTAAGCTTGGGCCCCAGGGATCTTGCCCCTTGCCCCTCCCTCTTGGTGGCCCTGCATACATACTGTATGCTACCTTCTTATGGCACATGTCCATATATATCATTCCTACCCATACATATGTTACCCATTCATACATGGCACATAATACAAACATTGTAACATCCCATCTTTTTCAGCTGATGATATATATTCAGCTGATGATACATATATTTATCATCAACCTGTTGATTTGTTCAATTGAGCAACATTTGTAAACATTTTATGTTATTGTAAGAGCAGGTAACTCACCAAGTACAGAATAAAATTGTACTTTATAAAATGTCTCTTTATGGGGCTTAGGAAGGGGAGTTGCTTTTAATCGTAAGAAAACCCCTGTTGTGACAGGTTTTTTTTTACCCCAGGACTCTAGGATTGGAAGGCAAGCATCTTAACTACACTAGGCTTTCCAGTTCCAGTGCCTCAAATTATAGTGGCATCCATTGTTCACTTAAAATTCTACATTACAAATTCATTAGTAGTTTTTTCCATTTATCATTTTCATTTTCTTTATCTTACATTTTTCTTTTAAAATCTTCTCTTAGGACTCACATCTTCCTCATACAATTTCCCTTTCAGTTGCAAAAAGAGATGGACACAACGCGACAGCAAGTTGTCCGCCATCAAGAGGAAACCTTTAGCAAACAAACTAACAAATATGAGGAAGAACTAAAGGTGACTTTGTTGTCTCATATTAGATCCAATGTATAGATTCCATTATTTGTTTTTTATTATATACTTAAAAACATATTATAGTAATCCTAATGCTGTTTTTGTCCCTTCAAAATTATTAAAATTGACAAAAGTATACAGAGATACTTTATTATATTTATTTTGAGGAGAACTTACTTATACAATAAAATAGTGTCACACTTTATCCCACCACTCTCTTTAAACAAAACTTTACGGTACATTCAACCTAAAAAATCTGTGAGAAAAAAACTTTATCATTTCGTCTCTACACATTACCTATCGTCTCTACACATTACCTATCTTACCCCTTTTACCCTGAAGATTAATAACATTTATTTCTCGTTTTTCCTTCCTTAAACATTACTAACATTTATTCCCATGGAATCTATCTAATAAACAGTAAGTAATTATTAAAGCAAAAGTTGCACTTGAAGACTACTGTAGTAAAGTAATTAACACCAGCTTTTGTGTACAGGTAACACTTTTCTGGTGAAATTTTAACTAAGGAAGTATACTGTGTACACAGAAACCTGTGTTATCTCAACCATTCTACTTTTGCTTATACTTAGTATTTAATTTGTAAAGTAATCCTTTTATTTTTTATATCAATTTAAGTAAAATATAACATTAACTTTATTCATAGGGGTAGACGGTACAGTTGGATTAATATATAATGTGGATTTAATTTATTGGATCATTTTTTAAGATTAATTCAATGTTTGATTAATTTTCTTTTTACCTTTCTATGTTTTACTACATAATGTGTATCTTAATATGTATTAATTTATAGGTAATAGTTTGTATCAATCTCTATATCATTATCTCTATATAGCCCTTCTCTTTTGTTATAAAAACATCTTTTAATATTAAAAAATGCAATGTTAATTCTGGATCCAAATTTTATCTTCTATTCAACCACTATTATTGCTACTATTTATCTCTTTCATATATGTATACAGTATATATAACATATAGTTATATGCTCACAATATCGTTATTACAAGTATACTTTTAGTCGTCATAGATACACATATTCATTTATGGTTCAGTTTTGTAATTACATACTATTGTTGATGGTATTGTTATTGCGGTTATGTAATCGATACAGTCATCAGATCAGAGGTGGTAATGTTTGTAACTATTAAAATATATGTAATTGAGTGTTGTAAAATAAGCACTAAAAAATGAAGAATTATTACTTTGGATACAATGTGTGAACAAATACATGATATAATTGGCCTTTTGTATCATGGCCAGTCAGGGCTCACTTTCTACAATGTACACAGGAAATTGATTTTTTTAATTTTTTTTATTATGAATATTATACTATCAAATATTCCTCATTTTTTGTATCAGAATCTTTGCATCAATACATTGTTAATAATGATGTTTTAAAGTTACCATCTGAAAACTATAATGTTCTTTGCTACTATACCTGAATGAATAATAATACAATTTTAATTATATTATAGATAGATACCAATTTAAATTTAAACATTTTGAAAATTTGTTTAAATTTAGGAGAAAGTTTGTGAGATTGAACTGTTAAAGGGTCGACTACAAGACCAGGAGAGCGCCACCAGAGGGCTTGGAGAGAAACTAAGGAAAGAGGCTCATGACCAGGTAAGATATGTTCCATCTAATTGTGCATACATGTTGTGAAAATTTCAGCATTGTACAGGGTATAAGCACAAACTCTTTGAATTTTGAATTGAGGAAAAATTTAAAAATCAAACAAGGCTTTAATATCAGGAAAACAATATCGTGAGAGTAAGTCTGCAATTCAATAATTGTAGCAAAGACAAGCCAAACCAGTCACTCCTCGTAAAAAATTGATTTTTAGTAGTTAGTACAGAGTTAAACAGTAAAAAGAGAGCTATAACATGGTAAAAGAATCATTTCAATCCGACATTTCATTATAAAGTTAAAGGAGTTTAAACATACAGCTGTTTAAAGAACAGTATTTGATAAATCAGTTACGATTTTAGGCATTTCTCAGGCAGAAACCATCACCAAATCGTTGTTTTAACATTGGAAATGGGGAGATTCACAACATAGCATGATGTATATATATATCTAAAGGTTAGCTTAGTGCAATAAAATAGATTTCAACAATTTTGACATTCCAGCATGTTTTGGCCATTATCTCTGAAACATGTGTATAAGGAGTGACTGGTTTGGCTTGTTTCTGCCACAATTAATGATTCCTTATGTTTCCAATGAACCAAAAAAAGTAGTGGGCTTCTGGTTTAAGTCCATTGATGCTTTCTTAGTTTTCTGGGCTTTTATTTTTTTTCAGCTGGAGAGCTGGAAAGTAAGGCACTATAATGTACTGACTTTGATAATGATAATTTATGTCTCTATGCTCTATAAAGAAATGCATTTTAATTTTATTGGTTAATCCTCTCATAATTGTCACCAAAATTAGAATCAGGCACCATGTTCCAAAGAGACAAATTTATTTTGACAGTACTTTATTAACCATTCAAATTCAAAACTTTTGTTAATAACCAGTTTTAAATATGCAATTTCTTACACAGAATGGCCTCCAAAGCCATGATGGAGGTGAATATATACATGATAAACTTTATTTGTTCTAAAATTCATCTTTTCTAATTACTTTTATGTCAGTGGTGACGTCATCACTTTCATTTGCACTGAATTTTCCGATTCCTGACTGATCACTAATTCGATATTTTTTTGTGTCTCGTGTACAAAAAGCTCAAAGCTGGGGTGATTTTTCTATAGTACATAGCGATGGGATATTTCGTTGCTAAGCCAAGCTATGAACGCACACAGCGAAACTAATAAATCTCGATCCATGGCGCTGGTTAACACGAATAAGGCCTAAGCAAGGCCTAGAAAGGCATAATTGCTGTGAGATAACAAGGTGATTGACTTATAAAAGAACTGAAAAAAATAAGGCAACGTTGAAATAATTTGTAATGTTTACAAAAAATGTTAATATATAAACAAATGTCTACCAGGAGGTTAGGAAAACTAACAACCCCTAATAAACTTCATTACCACAATCAATTTATTCATCTTCTTTGTATAGCAAAGAGCTACGAAGAGTGTCAGTGCGCATACTACTAACAAATCATTCTAATACGCAAAGGTAATGCACATGCAGAGTAATCACTGAGCAACCGGCCATCGCAAACAGCAGTTTCATTTATATATATAGCAACTGCTCTAAAATCAGCTGTTTGATTAAAGGGCAATAGAAAAGGTGATGGACATCACAACTGACTTTACAAATCAATTATAGTCAAGTAATTTCGTACACTATAGGAAATACAAGCCTTAGGAGCCATTATTTCTTTCAACAATCACCCTCCGGCCTGCGGGCTACAGTCAGTTTTTTTCAGGAAATAATGGCTCCTTGAGCCTCTATTTCCTGTAGTGTACTGAAAGCCTGGCTGTAATTGATTAATGTACAATGTGTAGTTTGACTTGTGTTTTGAGAATATATATTAACCTGAACTATTTCACAGATTAAGAGTGCACTTAAAAAGGAACGGGAGATCTGGGAAGGAGAATCTAAGAGAACTTTAGAGAGGGAGATACTGAAGAAGAATGAGGAAGAAAGGTGGACAACAACGCAGTTGAAGGCAGATGTTGCTAAGGAGAAACAGTTCTCCAGTCAGCTGCAGATTGCTTTGAATTCTCTTAAAGAAGTAAAATAGTTTTACAAATTTTAAAATAAAAATGTATTGAATTATCATTCTTGTTAATGTTGTTTAAAGATGTGTTAATTTCAAAAAAGATTTTTTTTTAATGATTTTTGTCATTTTCAGGGAAGTACATCTTTAAGTTAAATGTCAGTTGTCATCATCATCAGATTATCATTATTATCTAATAGTATTATCGTAATTATCATCCTCATTATTATCATTATCATCATTTTCAACTCCATTATCACCATCATCAAATAAATAAATACATAATTGGTTAATCTCATTTTCTAGGTATTATCTATATCTTAGATTAACCATTACATTTTCCAAATAATCCCATTTGTTGTTTTCATTGAAAGGAATTGGACAATCTCCGTCAGGAAAACCTTGCAATGCACCGACAGAAAGTGGAAGCTGTGTCCAAAGTCAGAGAGGAAGCCCGTCACGAAAGGCACAATGACCTGGAAAAGATGAGGGAAGAACTTAATCAGGTAAAAGGAAAAGGTGTGGGAATGATGGCATCAATATCAGCATCATTAACATCATTATTATTATCATTATCATCATCTTATAAAATCATCGTCATCATATATATCATCATCAACATTTTTTTCATCATCATCACCATCATACCTATAATTATCATCATCATCCTTGTGGCCATTCTCATTCCAGGCTAAAATTGTTGCTGACGATTGCCAAATAATAATAATTATTATTATTGTTATTATTATCATCATTATTTTTCTCATTATTATTATCATTGTCATCATTATATAACCATCATCATCATCGTCGTCATTATCATTACTTCATCAATGTCTTGTTGCCATCAATTTATTCTGACTTATGTTTCATTCAGTTCTATATAATGAAATTGGGTTTTTTTTCTAATACTTTGTAGCTTAGCTGCTAGCTGGGTCGTTATTATTTCAACAATGCCTGTTGCCATTAATTTTTCATTCAAATTCTATAAAAAAAAAATTTCTTTTTATACATAACATAGCTGCTAGTTGCATCACTGTGGTTGTTTTCTTTCCCATTTTTTTTTTCTTGGCACAGAAAGTTAATAAATGAATTTTAAAGAAAAATTGCATTAAAGCTGCTTTTGTTTATTCTGGTTTATATACTGTATAGTTCAGCCGCAGTTCAGCTCATGAAATATGCATTGCCTTAGCCGCAGGTTAGCATTTTTAGAAACTAATTTCATGAACTGCTTGCACTTTTAGAGAATTTAAAGAAAATGAAAAAGTGACAGCAATATAGTGATCATGCCAAAACATCTCATTTCCACATTTATCGGTCCATGAGTGACTATTCGGTGTCGGACTAAAATACAAGAAATTTTGGGTGTCTTGGAACTGAGAGTGGATTCATTTGACAAAGAAGAAACCAAAGTTGACTTAAACAGGTGGATAGGTTACTTTAGTCTAATGTACACATGGATTACTTCTCCCCCCCACTCCCACTTCCCAATGAATTTGGCCTGCCTTTTATATTTAACGTTAATGGTGAGTTCTTCAATCTGAATTCCTTAAACAGCGGACCGGAATTCCAATTGAATTCAGCTCCTCTGTAGGGGCCTGAATTCATTAACTTCCAGGATCCAAATTCATGGGGGCCTATAACTTAATTTCTGTGTCATCAGTTATACTGCAAGTTCAATTCGGTATTTACTATTCTGTTTTTTTTGTACAAAATCCTGAATAGTTATGTAATATTGTTCTCTCCTAATTAACCACATACACACATTCATCAATGTTGATATGTTTGGGGGTTTTTTTTGTTTTTTTTTTTGCAAATAAATACATTTTTGATGTTTGGATGAGAATATGTATTTTTTTAATTTTTTTGTTTTGTTTACTGAATAAAATGAAATAGTAAGTGGTTTATCACTTTTAATTGACTATGAATAAATATATACTGTACATCCAAATCCATTTTGTATTGGAAAAACTTGGAAGAAGCCATGCATCTTAGTATACTGTGCATCACTCGCTGTATAATATACCAACTAACAAATCAGTGGACCTTTTCACAAGCCACGTCCCTTGGATATTGTTGTGAAGGTCCCACAAAACAATAGCGAAAATGTATACAAACATGTGCATTTGTGGGACAGCACATGATTGTTAGACACGTTCATATTCCTAGCTGTTTTCTGATTGGTCAGTTGTTTAGTTTGATTGACACTACAGTAAGGTCCATTGTGTGTATTTATGTGATATTATTTTATTTATTCTTTCTTTATTCTGAAATACACTTTCAATACAATGTACTGGTTTCCAAAGTGGTTCAGTTTGACACACAAAAGTAACAACAATTTTCAAACATAACTTAACTAATAAATGTAAAACCTGTCTCTTATACACATCTAGATGTGTATAAGAGACAGTCTTTAAATCTTGTTTGTGAATAGTTGATGTTTGAATGTGTATTACCCAATTTATTGTCTACTATCTAAATTTTGAGTGTAAACAGACACAGTGATAAGAAATTCAAATTTGTTTTTAACTCCACAATTGGGGTTGTTGATCTTAGGACTATGATAGACCTGTAAATTGAAGTTTATTTAAAAGGAGCGTGCATGACTCCATTACCTGGAATATACAGTATGCAAATGATCTATCCTGGTTTTGATAGATTCCTGAAGGAAATATGGTAGAATTGAGTGATTTTTGGCTCAGGATTTGAAACCTGTCATCGATCTTTTATTTCTTGAGGAATAGGTATTGATTGTAGTGTATGGCAGTCACAGGCTGGTTGGTGTTTGGCTCAGCCATGGCTTGTGTGGGTTTGATTACTCTAGTCTGGAGTCTGTAGTACCAAGTTTTAACGTGATTTTTAGTGTTGATACCATGTACACTAGGCCTATGGTACTAGTTTTCATGCTCATGACAGTAGCCGCTCATCCTTTACAGCTTAAAATTTTTAGTATAATATAGTTCTTACAACTATATTAATTTTAATGGTTAATTAATTTATTAAGGTTTATATCTTTAGAGTTATGTACATATATGGTGCAATAAAATGTGTTCTTAACCAAGTTTTTGACACTAAAAAGTGTAAGTATACGATTGTTATATATGTATATGTATTACTGTATATATAATATATATAAATATATTATAGCATTTATTATTTAAGTAATGTTACCATAGTCACCTTAATCATTTATATTATTTTCATTGTAATACTAATGATCATATAGAGACCTTTTATTGATTGTAACTCATTGTTGTAGTTGTATGGCAAATTCATCAAGTAGTGTTGGCAATGTGTTTCTACAGTTTATTTTATTTGTACTTGAAAGGTCAGCAAGGATAATAACACTTCCCCAGTGTTTGCAACATGTACTCTACTCAGCAATGAACTATATGCTGCACCTGTAATATATATTATAATTATAGCTTTTATGTCACACTAGAAGAAAGATTAGTTTTTGTTAGAGTAGAAGCGAAAGATGTTATTATGAAAGTACAGGAGTTATCATATATTGCAATTAGTGTGGGTGCACTAACCATAAGATCCTTAGTTTAAAGTTGGAGAATAAATGGAACACCTGCGTTTTAAGAACATCATGCACTTACATTTTAAGTAGTATAACCTTGAATACATATGTACTGTAGGCTTAACCATTGTAGTTTGGTTGTCATTATGTTTTCACCTCTCAAATTGTATTGTCAATTTATTTAATTGCCATTAATAGTGTTGGCATAAGTCTAGGCACTGCTGGGATTTGTTGTTAGGGTAGTTGAATCAGAAAGGAAGTCTTGTTGAATTAGAGAGGATCCCTGATGGAATCAGGGTGGAGCCCTGGTTGAATCAAATTGAAGCAGTGGTGTATCGACAGGGGGAACACCTCCCCCCAAAAAATTCATGGTCCTCCCAAAAAATTCATGGTCCTTCCAAAAAAATAATTAATTAAAAATCACCTCAAATCACCTTATTTTGAGAGCTGGTGCCCCCTCATCTAATCATCAAGCCTTCAAGAGTGGAGCACTTGTTGAATCAGAGTGGAGCCCTGGTTGAGTATTCTAAATGGAATGAGAAATGAGAGCGTTGTTTACTTAATTTCATTGAATTCACAGAGCCTATTGTATGTGATCTATGAATTGTTGATGATTGGTCAGTAGTTGTATACATTTGTATCAACCGTAATCAACCTGTATTGTGTACTATTTATTCTACAAAACCTCAGATAGATTACTAGGACGTTATTTACATAGTCTGAAAATAGTGATTATTTAAAACCTTCGAAGCATTTTACATGTAGGCCTATTTGTGGATCAGATGGATGATTCCATTGCAGTTTTTGTTAATAGTTAGGAAAGGGTGCTGTAAAACATTCATCTTCAATTGATTGTGTAACAGCCTCTGTAGCTGTTAAATCTAAGAAATTCTTTGGTTGATTTTTTGCATACAGTATTTTCATTTATATTGATCTGTTTAGCACGTACTCATGTTGGAAAATTCAGGTTTTAGATTGCATTTTGAAGTTGATGGCTGATTAACGACAGGAATATAAAGCAATTGGAAGGGCTTTGATCTTTGAGCTATTGAGTGATTTATTTGACAGTGTATTAATGTTTTCCTACAGTTAAGATCGATTTTATATTATCATGAATGCCTCGGGGAGAATCGCTGAAATGTGATTAATGGTGGATTGGAATTTTCTTTAAAAAATAACAAAAATTGAGTCACGGAGACTTGATTAATGGTGGATTGGAATTGCCTGAAAAAAATAACAAAAATGGAGTTGACATCGCCAGGAAGCGAGGATGGAGAACGCAGTAATATATTTGAAGATTCATTTAGCCAATCTGAGGTCAAGAAGGATGAGGAATTAAGTGCAGTGTTACAAAATGAAGAAGCTCATGATGAAAACAAAAAATTCACATTTTATGCTAATGGACACTTACCTGTTGATGAAAGTGCATTGTTGTACTCAAGTGAGGATGAGTCTGAAATTGAACATATCCTGTCTGTGTCATCAAGTTGTTGCCATAGTCAACGAGAACTCGTGTTGAAAACTCAAGGTCAACTACAGAGGAGTGTTGAATTACTACAAACCTGTACCCAAGGACTAAGAGTGAGATGACTCCCAACTCTGTCAATATCTGTCCATTTATAATATGCTAATATAATGATAACGACAACAATGACGACAGCCATAGCGACGATAACCATGACGACAGAAGTAGTATTAGTACAGTAGTAATAATAACTATATTTCATACCACTAAAACCAATAATCTAAATCAATTAATTTAATGATTAATATTTTTATAATAATGCTAATTTAATGATAGCTACGACAATGACCGCGTCGTAGCGATGATGACTGCACAGATAACAAAAGTAGTAGTAGCAGTAGTAACTATATTTCATACCCTAAAAGCCACTGTTTTAATTAGGCAAATAAAATTGTGTTGTCAAAAGTATGAATAAACCAAGATCTGGTTATGGTAAACAGATGCCCTCCCCCCTCCCCCAAGGAGGACCGTGACATTATTGTATGGTGTTTGCAAGTGCAGTTTAATTAATTTGATACATTAAAATTTTAGCTTAGTGGTTTAAATTTTATCAACCAAAATATATAGGGTGAAAGATTGGAGCCATAACTTAATACAGTAAATTATAACAATAATTTTTTTAATTTTTTTTTTTTTTTAATTCTGACTTAACCTGATTTTCAATTGTCACTTTGCTTTGGCAACGCAACAATTTATCCTTATGAATATTTATAAATATTTATTTTAATTTTTATTTTATTTTTTATTTTATCCTGGTATATGGTAAAATACAAAAGCAGAACCAGTCTGAAATTATTGTAGTACAAAACATTCAAGATTACAAACAACAAAAAATTCAAATAGATTCCAAAACACCAAATTACAAACACCATCATCATCATTAATAAATATTAAAAATAATAAAAATACAATTCATTAACCTAATTGGTGGGAAGAATAACTTAAATCTTTTTTTTTTTTTCCATAAAGTGTGTGAGAGATTTGTAACAGGTGGTCTTGTACTTAATAATCTGTTGAGTACCCCACCTCTTAATTTTCCTCCATTAATTCAATCTATTTACAGGTATACATATGATTTGCTTGATTTTGTGCCAGATGTATCCTAATATATTTTATTAAATTTTCCATTATTTACAGGAAAAGACAAAAGAACTAGAAAAGTTAAAAGAGTTGGAGAAAGAAAAAGATGCAGAGATAAAAAGACTGAAAGGGGAACTGCAACAAAAGAAAGAAAGAGAACGAGAAGTGTTAAGCGACTACGAGAGGAATAATCGATCAATCCTGGTGGAGTTGAATGATGAATGCAAAAAAACTAGCAATTTACTAGGAACAACGTCAAAGAAGATTTTAGTAAGGTACGGCATGATGGATGAATCCACTCTAAGGTTTTATTGCAGGTTAGGGGAGAGGAAACAGGGGGAAGAAATGAGTTGAGAAAGGAAATGGGGGAGTAAGAAATAGAAGGGTATATATGTACAGTGAAAATTGTATGCATATAATTAGAATGCAGTTATGGTTTTGTGGTTAGGATGCTCACCTTTGATTCACAGGATCCTGGGTTTAAGTCTTATATTACTTCATTCTCTATGCCCTTGTGATAGGTCAAATTAACCAAGTTTTTTAACAAACCAGATTTTCCAGAATAATTATCCAGTACAAACAGTCTGCATAATAATCTACAGTACCTGCTAAAATAACCCAAGCCTCACATTAAGTTTTGCCATGCGAATCATGCCCTGTAAATGTAAACCAGGCAGTTTTTGTTTTCCCGCTGAGCAAAAAAGCTGAGTGGTGGTACGGTGCATTTTCAGATATATCATTTTGCAGATTGTCACTCAAAAATTTTACTTTTTTACTTACTTGTTACCTTGATACTAAAGACTCTCAAATCAGTGCCCCTCATACTTGCACTCTGATCATTGTTAATAGTAGGGGTGATATAGTTTTGGGTGGTTCAGAGATTAACAAATATTTGAGTAGCTTCCAGAAGAGTTAATAAATTTATTATTTATTTCCATAGTAGCAAATTTCAGAAGGGAACAGTAACTAATGGCAGGACATCATCAAGTGGGTCAGATGTTGAGATGACGGGTAAAATGCAGGTTTTGTCTGCGCTAGGCAACATGAAAGGTTGCAACGAAGATCTACGAAACAAATTCCAAGAATTAAAACAAAGCTTAGAGAAGCAGAAGCGCCTCAATGTAAAGGCCAGCAAAGTGCGGGTATGTATTTTAAAATTAGTCTTCGCTTTTTAATCAAATCTTATTTGTGTTTATCATCCTGAAATATGATTTGTGTTGTTGAATATCAAAACATTTTGTTTTTTAAAGGTATCTTAATTTTAAAGCAGTTTTGTGAAACCTGTTATAATAATACTGAATAATATAAAATGTTGTTTGTGAGTACTTATCACAATGGCTTGTTTCATTTGATTTTATCTGTAGGAAAAAGAGAAGAAAAGCAAAGACTCTTCGGGAAGTTCTTCTAGTTTACAAGCCATGAAGGAGCGACTAGAAATGGTATTTTTTTGTAATTTATATTGGTAATATTATCATCGCTGCTATGATTGTCATTTGGGAATAAGTTGGGCGAACACAAGAAGAACGCAAAGCGACCAGGTGTGTTTTAATGACATCTTCTCAGTCTGCCGTTGAAAATCGGCGAATGGCATCACAACATCGAGCGCTCTCAGACAGTGAAGATGGATTCGTCAGCTGACAGTCATACGATTTTCATATGTTGAAGTGTGTGCCCAGCCTTAAGCTTTGTCTACACTATCAAATTTCATCAAAAAAAGCGTCACATAAAATTTGATGGAACATAGAGTTGAACACGTTCAACTTTTTTTTTTATACAATTTGATGATATGTGATATGACGTCATCGTACCCATATATGGGCACATCACATTTTTTTGTCACATAAAGTTTGATAGTGTAGACAAGGCTTTACTGTAATACTTATAACTTTAAGGGTAAACATGTTTTTTCCTTAGGAACACAGTGAGGAAATGGAGTCTCTGCATCAAACTGTAATGAAATTGAAAGCGTCTGAATCAGCTTTACAAGGAAGACTTGTAGATAAAGACAGTGAGATGAGACAAATACAGAAAAGTATGGGCCTATGGAAGGAGGAAACTGCACTTAAAATGGCTAAGAAATTCGAAGAAGAATTAAACAAAGAGTTGGACATGTAAGAATCTTAATTTATGTTGCATTCCCATGCCCAGTCTTACTCTTTTCCCCAACCTCACTCTTATTCCTGACCATATTTTTGTTTTAACCCCACTCCCATTTCTAACTACACTTTTTCCCCAACCACACTCCCATCCCCCAAAACCTTCAGTAATTCTGATCCACAGTCTCACTTTCATCCCCATCCTTATTCCTGTCCTCAGCATCCCAACCTCTTTCCTGTCAACTACCACACCCTTATCCCCAGTATCGTTCTTGTTTCCAACTTCTCTTCTCCACCCAATGTTACTCACCTTTCACCTCATTCCTCACCCCAACCTCACTTCCCCCACCCTTCATGAGTAGTATGTTTAATGTCTGCTGTGATTGTTTCTGTCATAGCTTTTCCATATTTACTGTTCATATATATTTTATATGCCTTTATGTTTTTTTTAATTTTTTTTTATTTTAGGAGGATGCAGGATTCATTTGGACACCATACACCAGTTAGGAGATCTGCGAGCTCGGTACTGTCACCTCAAATATTAGTGCATAACTGTTTTTTAATAATTAATATATTGTATATTAAAGTAAATGCAAATATATGCCGTATTTATACTCTTACCTTTCATAACTATACAGGTAGTATATTTTCACTCACTTTATTAGTAACCAGTGGGCAATCATTGGATGACAATTCTCTTCAAAAAGTCTTAAGAATTGCAAAATTTTGAATAATTGCCCTGGGTCAATAAATGCATAATATGATAATGGTAATTTTGGATTAACACACAGAAATTCATGTATTTAAAGAATTTTATTCCCTTATTGTCTCTGTCTATTCTATAGGATAGAAGCGCAAGTCCTCCAACACAGGACGCAAGTACTGTTAAGCTACTTCGACATTTGCAGGAAAAAGTGAAGCTTCTACGTCAGGAGAACCTGTCCCTGAAACGTGGAATGTACAGCTCCAGTCACATGACAGCCGATGAGTTAGACACTTCTAGAGTGAGTGAATATGTGCTCAATGGAACATCTACATTTTTTCATGTGGAACTGGGCCCAAGTTTCTGCAATTGATGATCATCTTTTAGCTTTATAAGTACAGTAAATGTTTGGGGTGTTCTTGAAATTGCTGAGAGTTACAACAGGATGTGTGCCTATTAACAATGCCAGCAGGGGATTCGGAGGCTTAAGCCCCCATTTTACAGGTTAAATCTAAATGGACAGATCATGTCACTAAATAGTATTCACTTCCACTTCATACAGGAGATCTAGTTTCTGGTATCCGATATAAACATTTTTTTTTTCTTATTAAATTGAACATTCACTGTTGTTCTTATAGTACGTAGCTATAATTCATTTTTCTATCAATATAAAATTTAAATATATTATTTTATTTCATTTTATCTTAGGAACTGTTGAGGAAGGATCACAGCATCCCAAAGCGTTCCCATAGTTATGGAAAACTTCCATGAACATTAACCGATTTTGGAATTTAAAAGAGCAAACCTGTTACAAGTACCTAGCATTTCTCTAAAGAGCAGAAAGTTATATTAGCTTCCTTAACAATGATGATGATAACAAGCTACAAACTGGACATGTGTATGTATGTGTAATATATACACTTAACATTACAGATATATGCTACAGGTGTACTGCGCAATGATGATGAAAAACACTGTACGTAACTGAACTGGTAAAACCACCCGGAAATAGCTACTAAACAAGATAGGCGCTGGATTCAATATATTAATGGCAGATGAATAATAATGACTTATGTATTTTTATATATTATAAGCATACAACTTAATTACACCTTGATTGTGGTAAATATGCAATTAGAAATATCAGGTACTTCAGTATGTTACTTTTTATAATGAAATTTTTACTATATAAATGCAAGTAAAGGACACGGAATTGAGCCAAGTAGCCTTAATTAATTACTAACTAGCATTAATGACTAATTAATCTAAATGTCACATTGCAAATAGCTAGCACCTTGATTAGTAAATGGTTTGTAGAGACTTGTTACCATTTTTATGAATCATAAAAAAGGAGTACTGTATATTTATGATGTTATTTATATAATTTATATGTTTTTTGATTTATTGGTACGTACTGTACGAGATTCTGTGCATGAATACACAACAACACACAACAAAATGAGAAATAGGGCCTTCTTCCTACAGTGGAGTGAAATAAGCTACATATATATTTACGATGTATATAGATTATTATTATGTTACTAAAACCTACCTTAAGGGGACAAAAGAGAAATTATAGAACAATTAAAAAAATGACGTTAAAGGAAAAATAACACAAAAGATATTCCCTTTAATTCCAACTTGGTACATATTATTATTATTATTATTATTATTATTATTATTATTATTATTATTATTATTATTATTTTTAATATAATTTTTATTATTATGACTATTATTATTAATACAGTTTGCCCTCCAATTTGAGAATACTTTTAGGACCTGAACATTTTTTAGTGTTAGGCAGTTAGAGGGTTAGCTATGTCACATGTAAACCAGTTTGATAATTGTTATTTGGTACTTTGTAAAGGGGTGGTCACAAATTTAAATAATTGTTATCTTCTATATATGCTATTTGTTTAAAAGAGTACTTTGATAATATGTATATGATAATTATTTTTAATAAATAGTAACAATACAAATTACAATCAACTACCTTGTAATATTTCTTGATATAATGTTAGATTATTTGGATCATAATTTGCAACTAAATAAATGATTTTGTGATCTTCCTGCTTTCGCTGGCAGGCAATTATTAATTAGCGTCCAACAGTGAATGTGGACGATACCTTATCGTTTTTAGTTAATAATCAAATTCTTTGGTCATCTCTTTATTATGTCAGTTTTATACAAATCCAATACAATATTTTATATATATAGTAATATTCATAAATATTATATAATAGTAATTAAAGGTTTATTTGTATATTCTAATTCAGCATCACATAATTATTTTAATTGCAAATCTTATTCAAAATTGAGAAGACCATAACTTTGCTATTAATGGATAAATCTTAAAATAAAGGTAGAGAGGACGAACTTTGTTGTTGTGTTAATGTAAAACGTGAAGGAGAGACTCTAAATTGTCTTTCGGCAATTACACAGGAATCTACGAGTGTGGAAAATTGCCTCGACTGGTATTCAAAGCTAGGAATTTAATCTTATGGATGCCTTTTTAGAGCAGAAACATGCTTGGAGGAAAAATAATTTCATTAAAATAAGCATTTAATCAAATTTAATTGATTTTGTGTCACACCAGGTCTTTTTAGAGCAGAAAACATGCTTGGAGGAAAAGTAATTTCATTAAAATATGCATTATTGAATTCAATTGATTTTATGTTATACAAGGTCAATCATTGTTTTGACTTTTTATACCCATGTTGTTGCAATTTTTTATGACCGCCAGTTCAACAACCTGTGATTATATGTATATATATTTATATTTTTATAGGTATTTTTGATATAGATTTGCAATTAAACCTTCCAATGAAGTATTTTATTTAATGTATATTAGATTTATAATTGCATATCAATATACCTTGACCTCTCTTTACCTTCTCAATTTTAGTAGTTTTTTTCAAGATTATTCCCTTGGTAATTATTATTTCATAGCAGTAAAATATCAGCAATAGATAGAGAAGGAACATTTTACAAAGAGGGGTGGGTGGTAGAGAAACAGTTTGGAATATTTTATAATAAAGATATACCCCACCAGACTCCAGACCTACAAATGTTTTACTAGTAATTAGTGGAACACAAATACTTTATGTGGCGCTATTTGAGTGTGAGATGGAACTGCAAAAATGTATTTAGACGTCTATTTCGTGAATACTTACCTGGATAACCGACTAATTGCCATTGTTCCCAAAACAGAACACCCCTTCAAAAAAAAAATGGTCCGACCCAAGGCGCCACGTGCGAACCGTCTCCCTAACAAACGTCCTCATTCCCTTTTCGACGTTGTTCGAAGTCGGATACATCTAGCCTTTGAAAATAACTAGCAGGACTTTTCAAGCAATTCTGTTCTCCTTGTATTTAGACGTTTATGGTCAATTGAAAATGTTAACAAAAGCTGTTATGTTACTTATATATTTGTACATAATATGACACTGTTACCATCAGTACTTTAAAACAAACACCAATGTTGTCAATTTTCAGGTTTCTGAACTATCAAGTTGTTTTTTTTTCTTCGTTTTTATAAGTGAAATGACAATTTAATAAAAAGTACTACTCTGCAAATATTTATTTGCGAATCATGGAGATGAAATTTGCAGAAGTAATATTTATTGTTTTTAATATTAATGAATAATAATACTTTAAAACCATTTTAATAAAAAATGTTTCCAAAATATTAGCAATATTTTAAGTTAATTCTTGTATGGTGTTTGACAGGTTGATTATGGTCACTTGATAATATTTATGTAGTAAAATTGAACCAATTGGTTGTTAAAGAATTGTATACTAATAATGTCAGGAAATGATGAATTGACGAGTGCAATAGCAAGAATACTTCCATCAGATGGACTGTTTCATTTAATAAGTTGATTGGCATAGTCCGTCTTTCAACTTATAAAAATATTCTTTCTATTGCACAAATAACAATAGTCATTATTTGATTTATAATAAATCTAAAATATTAAACAGTGTATAGTGTTGGCATCATTTCCAATCGGTGTAATTTGTAGATAATTTTTACTCAGTGTACTTAATTTATGTATATTTATTCTAATAAGGTTGCTTTAATTATTTTATACAAAATTAATACTGTAAACCTTGAATAGAAGCCCATGGGCTTCTTTTTGAGATTTCTTTTGCAAACTAAATAGGGGCTTCATTTCGAGATGGGCTTCTTCTTGAGATTAACACGTTGGCTGCCAGCAATGAGTACAGTATACTCGTCCCGCAGGGTGTTGCTGAGGGCGCCAGGGACGAGGATGTTTGTCAAAATTGGGGTAACATTCTAGCATTTATTACTTCCTGGTTATACATTGTAGAACCACAGACTCAACGGTGTATGTATGTTTGTTGTGTTATGTTCACCTCACTCGTCCAGTTTAACATAAATACATACAACACATGCAAAAAGCGGACGAAATAACTTTTTACTTGGCATAGTCAATAAAAAGTGCTATAACAGTGCCGTTGACAAGTTTACTCTTCCTCTAATATTTTCCCGCCAATTTATTAGACACATCATTGATGATATACGACTAGGTAGAATTTCAAAAAGGTATGTTTGTACATGTAAACTTGTTTTGGCACTTTTTTTTTTTTTTTAAAGGCTCTGGCAGTCAACATGTTAAGCCTGTAGGGCTTCTATTTGAGGTTTTGCGGTTATTTTTGCACAATTCATTTATTGAGGTGCCCATATGCTTTTTATTTGTATTGTATTTACTTTAACTCATCTGAAAATGCCTGGATTTATAAGCACCTTATTGCCAAAGGATTTAAGGTACTATATGTTTAGATTACAGCTATCAGCATTAAAAAACAACCCTCCTATGTTTACAGTTTTTTCATTTGTTTTTCTATTGCAAATTTCATGCTGTTGACAAGTTTACTCTTCCTCTAATATTTTCCCGCCAATTTATTAGACACATCATTGATGATATACGACTAGGTAGAATTTCAAAAAGGTATGTTTGTACATGTAAACTTGTTTTGGCACATGGGAAGGAACCTTTAAAAAAAAAGGGTGTGGCAGTCAACATGTTAAGTCTGTAGGGCTTCTATTTGAGGTTTTGCAGTTATGTGTGCATAAATCATTTATTGAGGTGCCCATATGCTTTTTATTTGTATTGTATTTACTTTAACTCATCTGAAAATGCCTGGATTTATAAGCACCTTATTGCTAAAGGATTTAAGGTACTATATGTTTAGATTACAGCTATCAGCATTAAAAAACAACCCTCCTATGTTTACAGTTTTTTCATTTGTTTTTCTATTGCAAATTTCATGCTGTTAATGATAATGAGGATGATGACGATAAGGATTGTAATGATGATGCTAATGACAATAATGATGACGATGATGATGTCAGAAGATATGATGATGATGTAAAATACAGAAAAATTTATAAATTAATTACCGGTAGGTCCAATCGTTGCACTAGCCTGGCAGTCCCCAATGCAATCCGGATAGCTCCCCAATAAGACCAACCAATCAGCATCAACGAAAGATGTCGGCGATGGGTGTAGCGATTACTTACTCGTTGTGAATTCTGTGAAATATTATTTTATTATTGCGGTTAGTGCTCGCCATATCGAATTTAATTGGCGTCCCATACTCCTCTAAATATAAGGCATGCTAGCTAAACTTCAATCTACTCGTTGGTGGCGCTGTCCATATTGAGAGAAAAAAAACAACGGAAAAGAAAATGGTATTTCCAGCTGAAGTTCTGTGACGAAATATTTATTTATGTGATTGCGCTAGAAGAAAAAGCACATTACTGTGTCATTTTATTAAGATCAATGCGGCTACGTTTATTTCATTTTAATTGCCTTTATGTCTATCTCGCGGATTATTATAAGGCTCGAAATTTGTGACACTTCCACAACAAAGCCTGGTCATATCGAGTTCACTGCCTCAGGTACGGAAGGGACCAGAGAGTTCTATTGTAAGGACTAGTGGCCTAGTAGGAGGAGGCCTAGGTGTAGCCCTATCATATATTATGCAGTCTTGGAGGTTAAGCTAGTATTTTAGTAGGAGTAGGCCTAGTCTGTTCTATAATATTAATAATAATTGGTCTAATGATGTCGGGTCGTCTCAACACTGGTTGTATTGCACCTGATCTGATTGGTTTCAGAGTGAGCTATTTGGTTTGCCCTCGCATGCCCTCACCACCATCATCACGGATGGGTGGTTCTGTCTAGTTTTGTTTCGGCAATTTTCTGCCTGGATCATTTTGAAAATTGTCATTTCAGCACATTGTGTTTCGCCACTGCACAGGTCATTCCTGCATAGTCTTCCTACCTCGAACGGATCAATTTGGCCTGTGTCATTTTGTTGGCATACATTATACATAGGTCTTTCCACGCGTGTTGCGTGAGACGGTCAAGTGTTAAAGTGACCTTGACCATGCACAGTTTACTTTTCATGTGCAAGTCCTTTTATTTTATGCTTGTGGTGGTGCACTTTGATCAAGTTGAGGGTTGCGCAGGCCATCGCCGTCGGAGATCAAGAGCACAGCATCGATCAATGGATGTACACGGTAGCACGTCAAAACTTTATTTAGCAGTGCTTCAAAAGTGTTTGTGAAAAATGAGTATTGCAAGTGTTTACACTCATGTGGTGGAAAACAATGAAACCCTCACTCATTTTTTTTTTTTTGTCAACATTGCTTGGTTCCTGCATATAAATTTGCCTAGTGGAAAGGCTAGTCCAGCTTGGAGTGACAGAGGTATCCCATGGAGTACATTTTCTACATCACCAGTTAAAATGTATGCAGATGATAAGAAGTACAGAATCGTTATCAAATCAGATGCAAATACTACAAGTCAGCTACACTACAAAGGGGATCTTGATAGTGTTTTAAAAAGGGAGTTTTGATTGGTTGATGAAAAATGTAAAGTAGTTGTGCATATTTTGTACTCAAACAAGTCCTTTTGCTATAATATAGATCAGGATGAAATTGGAGAAGTGGACAGCATGGGTAAAATCCATGACCTGACAAGATGTATGTTCCAACAGCTGTAAAATCACCTGGACTGATATTGAAGAAATTAAGATATGGACTTTAAAAGCAGTGGTGGTTCCAGAATTTGGTGAAGTCTCCCCGAAATCGAGACAGTGAAGCAAAATTTTCCCGGAATTATATAACCCATCTCCTGCAAATCCAGGTTCATGGAAAGGGGGTTTTCATAGGCCAAATTTAACTCAGAAGTTTTTCTTTAATAAACAAATTCATGATAAAATACTACAGCAGTAAACTGGTAAAAAAACCAGGTGGGCTGCAACCCAAAAACCTGCTGGTTGTAGCCCTCATTACTGTGCATGCTTGTGTGCAGATCATGTTTTAATGAAGAAATTGCTTTATCTAATATGTACAGGTTATCCCAAAATGGCAGAAAAAGAAAAAGTATCCATTAAAACCAGCAGTAATACATGCAAGCATAAGCGACAAGGTACGGTAGAAGATTTCCATGGTCGAAGGGAGACCAGTACAATTGAGCTTGAAACTCTTGTCAATGAAGGTATTTAATTTATTTCTCTTAGCTTCATCTACAGAACAAGCAAGCTGTATTTTTGTCCTGTAAATATTACTGCATGGGAAGCCATATTTATAACAAGATTACTTATTTCAGCTCTGTAACTTTTATTAAAAGTGTAAGTTCGAATATACTGTACATTTTTATTACCCATGTATGTACAGTAATTGTAAAATGTCATATAATAACAGGGTGGTCCTTAATAGTAACTTTGTAGGCATATAGCTTATAGGTCTATTGTTTAAATTGGTTTAATCACATTATTTATGAGAGCATTTTTAATTATTATAAATTGTGACTGTTATTATTATTATTAGTTGTAATTTATTATTAGGTCCCAAAAGCAACGACAAATCTGATGCACATGCAGTGAAAGAAACAAAGGACAAAGAAAAGAAATCCAAAATTTCAACCCAAAATTCCGAAACAAAAGATGAGGTCAAGGCGGAGCAATCAGGAAGTAAATCAGAGAGAACAACTATCACATCAATAGACAAGACCGGGAAAATTCATTTCTTTTCAGGAAACCCTAGTGTAGAAATAACCAAGGGAATCATTCATATATTTAAGGAGAAGTAAGTTTCATTCCAGAATGACTTTTACCTTGCGGTTATTCGCCTTATTTTTCTAGAAAAAATTCTGAGTGCATGAACAAAATATGTTATCATCTGACTTTCCCATGCATTTTCTGAACACTATCAAATGCTGCTGAACAATACACTGTTGGGCATTAAACTCTGTAAGCCACGGGTGTATATTTTCAAATGCCATGTTTTTAATTTATACATTGTAAACATCACCTCCCATAACTATCACTAAGTTTGAAAGCTGATGTAAGCATACACCATATTGAGCCTCGTATCAAACCTATCTTCATAGTACCTTCCAAATTTTTGCCTCATTTTCCCCCCCCAAAAAACAGCTTTAACCTACACATTAGGTTAACACACAGAATGACTTCATATGTCTGATATCTACCTTCTACTTGCTTTTGCTGTTCCCTACCACATCTACCATGCCATTATTTTGCATTATGTGTGTTTTTTTTTTTTTTTAAAGCCAGATGACATCTTTGACAGATGAAGTTCCAAGGAGTGAGATGATTTGCATGCTTGCTGTTCCAGCATCGCTTACGATACATGACATGGTCCAGTTTACAGCACCCTCAGCTGAAGGGATTGAGCTCTTGAGAATCATACGTGATGCCTCTCCCAACCAGTACATGGTGCTTGTGAAGTTTAAGAATGCTGTAAGTCATCATTGTTGTGATCTGCATCATTATCATCATCATCATCTTTATTTTAATCATCATTGTCATCATCTGGGGCTCCAGACCTTTGTCATGGTGACTGGGTAAAAACCTAGCATTATTCCACCACATACTAGTCTCTTGCAGTTTACCCAGTCAGTATATGATTATAGAAAATGTGCACACTTTCTATCTATCCTTGGACACAACAAAATATTGCTTACCAGTCTTTCATTTAACACAAATTTTATCTACATTATGAACTGTTATTATAATATGCTTTCTGTAGAGCTTAGCTGATGAGTTTTATTCTGAGTACAATGGAAAAGTGTTCAACTCCATCGAAAACCAGCAGTGTTACCTTGCATATGTTGCTAGAGTAGAGTTGATGAAGACTTCTGAGGTTAGTGGCCAAGCTGTACAGTATATGTCCATCATATTCAATTGCATGCATTTTGTTAGCAGCATTATCAAGATTCAAGATAAATAATTTCTCTCAAGTATTACAAAAGAAACACACAAGAAAATATCAATTAATATATATTTGGTTATAAACAAATAAATTATAAATAAATTAAATCAGTTAAACAGTTTCAGGCAGAGTAAGTCCTGGATTAATTCCGTAATTGTTATGACATTTTCTATTGCAGGGAGGTTACCTTGTAATGCCAGGGGTCACTGAACTCCCTGTGTGTCACATCTGTCTTGAGAGAATGGATGAAGCAGTGGATGGCATTATCACCATCCTGTGTAACCACTCATTCCATGGCAGCTGCCTCTACAAATGGGGTGATACCAGGTAACATGTTATATATTATATTAAATTGTCGTCATCATCATCTTCATTACCATCACCCATAAACATCATCATCACCATCATCCAAATATTCAACACCACCTAGTTATATTCATTATCATCATCCTCATCATTTCTACCATCAACATTTTTTTCATTATTATCTTCATGTCTATTGCTGTCTTTATTCTAAATACTACAATCATTATTGTCACTATTTTTATCTGTTATATCATCATCATCATCATTGTGCAGTATCATTATTATCAATATCACCATCATCATCATTGTATTATCATCCTCATTTTTTATCATCTTAAATAATTACCATCATATTTCTCAACTGTTATTGCAGATTTTTGATAATTATCTCTACATCTAACTTCTATCCATTCTCATTTTTACAGTTGCCCGGTTTGCCGCTACTCTCAAACTCCAGAAATGGTTGAAGATAATAAATGCTTTAGGTGTGGGGCACAGGAGGTAAACAAATTATATTTTTATATCAAAATTTCATATCCATATAGCATTCTATACCTAGAACGGTCCTTCCTTTTTAACTTATTACTAAACAACCATAACAAACCAAGTATCAACTTCAATTTGTATTCACAAACAACGTAGTCAAAGTTCTAACTACTGTACGACTGAGTCAAATCCTACAGTAGTTGTAGTTCACCTGAAGACGGCTGACAAACAACAACTATCAAACTAACCAATGAAAAGAGCTAATTTTAATAGCAGACAAAATTTCAGAGATCCGGTAATGCGGATGAACATTAAACTGTCGTCTGTCTTTCAAAAACATATTTCCTCATAATTCATAATAGACCATTTTTGTCGGCGCCATCTTTGTTGTTACGGTGAAGCTACATGACCGCAACGTGAGGAGATTTCGTGCAAATCAGGAACTGTTGCATGTGGCTAGCAAAACATGTTAACTTTGCCTTTTAGAAGCTAAACGTAATGTCCCTTTTCTTGAACACAGTAGAGATACAACAGACCTACTTATACAATCGTTTTTATTCATTTCACTTTATTGTAAGTTACAAAAAGCACGTTTTTGTGGGGTAAATATTTCAAGTCGGCGATTTAGCCTGACCGTAGGCTGGCTAAAAAAATCAGCCTGAGGAGGTATAATTTTAGTCGAGGTTCGCGTGATTTAGTTGTAGTGCTAGTCAAAGTTCATTTTAAGAATACGAAATGACGTAATACGAAGTGAGTAATTTATTGTTTTGTGCCATTTTCAGGTGAGATAGTCTGTTTAAACAATCTTAGATGTCTGCATGGCCGTACAAGCTACATGGTTCAGCCAGGTGAAACCAATAGGCTTGTGAAAGGATGTTTTTTGAGTTGGCAGGATGTGGATTCCAGGCAACGTGTTCTCGCCGGTATGCTTGAAAGATACACAAATGGTATAAAAGTTTAATCCACAAGGAATTATATATATATATATATATATATATATATATATATATATATATATATATATTTATGGGAGGAGTAAGGATATATAAAGTAGATATAAAGGGAGGTTATCCCTCAATATAAGCTTGATCTAAATCTAATTCCCTGTAATTTTTTTTTTCAGTATACCTATTTACTAACCAATCAACTTGAATCTCAAAAAGCATATTATGAGGAGAGAATATCAAGAATAGAACAAGAAGCATTATCACAGGTAATATTCAATAAATTATTTGATGAAACAGAGGTACTGTAGTGGGAAGGTGTTGTAGCCTTCTGGATGAGATGCTTGCCTTCCAATCCCAGGGTCCTGGGTTCATTTCCTGTCAGAGTTACAAGATTTTGTTTTCACTTGTATAACTCATACAGTTATTAGCATGTACACGGTTAGATGAAGTAAAATAAAAGATATTCAATTCATTATTTGATGAAATGTGAAGTGTTATCATTGGTAATACCCACTGTATCTGGTTATGTTGCCTGAGATGTGTATAAGAGACAGTATTATCTTCATCATGTATATTGCTGTCTTTATCCTAAATACTACAATCATTATTTTCACTATTTATATCTGTTATATCATCATCATTGTGCAGTATCATCATTATCAATATCACCATCATTATCATTGTATTATCATCCTCATTGTTTATCATCTTAAATATCACCATCATATTTCTCAACTGTTATTGCACATTTTTGATAATTATCTCTACATCTAACTTCTATCCATTCTCATTTTTACAGTTGCCCGGTTTGCCGCTACTCTCAAACTCCAGAAATGGTTGAAGATAATAAATGCTTTAGGTGTGGGGCTCAGGAGGTAAACAAATTATATTTTTATATCAAAATTTCATATCCATATAGCATTCTATACCTAGAACGGTCCTTACTTTTCAACTTATTACCAAACAACCATAACAAACCAAGTATCAACTTCAATTTGTATTCACAAACAACGCAGTCGAAGTTCTAACTACGACTAAATCAAGTCCTACAGTAGTTGTAGTTCAGCTGAAGATGGCTGACAAACAACTATCAAACTAACCAATGAAAAGAGCTAATTTTAATAGCAGACAAAATTTTAGAGATCCGGTAACATGCATGAATATTAAGTCGTCTGTCTTTCGAAAACATATTTTCTCATAATTCATAATAGACCATTATATGCCTAACTAATACTCTATAATAATAACTATATTAGTCATTAATATATAATGACAGAGAAATTGAGCTGTCACTGAAAATTTGCTTTCTTTGGAGAACTATTATAGTTGAGGTTGAGCGAGGGCAGCGCCATCTTTGTTGTTTTTACGGTGAAGCCGTAAATCAGAACTGTTGCATGTGGCTAGCAAAACATGTTAATTTTGCCTTTTGGAAGCTAAATGTAATGTCCCTTTTCTTGAACACAGTGGAGATACATCAGACCTACTTATACAATCGTTTTATTCATTTCACTTTATTGTAAGTTACAAAAAGCACGTTTTTAGTGGGGTAAATATTTCAAGTCGGCGATTTAGCCTGACTGTAGGCTGGCTAAAAAAATCAGCCTGAGGAGGTATAATTTTAGTCGAGGTTCGCGTGATTTAGTTGTAGTGCTAGTCGATTTTCATTTTAAGAATACAAAATGACGCAATTTAGAAGTTTTAGCTCGATCTACGATTGAAGTTCGTTTTAAGAATACTGTGGTTAATGTCATAAAATTTGGGTCACAAAAATGGTTTTTTCTTGGCCCTATACAGTACCTGTAAAATGTTAGTTTCTGCGGTATACTCATACACCTGTCAGGGCCTTGTGTTTTTGGTTTTTTTTTTTAAATGCAACCCTTTACCTAGAGTGGCTTCTTTGCAATGTATGGGGTGAACTCTAATGAAAACATATTAATTTTGATAGTAATATGGCATTTGTAAAATGTTATTATTATTATTATTATTATGTAACAGAGTCTGTGGATTTGCTTGGTGTGTGGTGTTGTTGGATGTGGACGGTACGTTGAAGCTCACGCCCATGAACATTTCAAGGAAACGCAGCATACATACGCATTACAAGTTGGTCAGAACAAAGTGTGGGATTATGCAGGCGGTAAGGCTGTTTGTATGTACGAATTGATAAGTATAGAAATACATCCCAAACCCCCCCCACATAAAGTCTCACCTACAGAAATACATGAACCTTCTCACCTATACAACCCCACTTTGTGTCATTTATATTTGAGAAAATATTTATATAGTAACATTTAATTTAGCAAGGAAAGATGAAATGCAAGTCATTATACATTATCTACTGCATATTATATGTAAGGGAAAATATTTCAAGTTGAAAGATTTTGTTGGCAGATAATTATGTACACCGTCTAATGCAGACAAAAGGAGATGGTAAAATGGTGGAATGGGATCATGAAGATGGAAGCAACAGGGAGGAGAAGTTGGATTCAATCACCTTGGAAGTAGGTTTTGTAGAATAGCTATACTGTCCTATACAATTCTTGAAAACTATTTTTTGGGATGTTATGTTAAAATTAGTGATGATTTAGAAAATGTGATAGCCTACATGAAGAAATGAAGCATGAGTATAAAAAGGTGGTGAATAAGAATATGTGTACAGAGAGGGGTAAATGAGCTGAATTATGGGAGGAGTAAGGATATATAAAGTAGATATAAAGGGAGGTTATCCCTCAATATAAGCTTGATCTAAATCTAATTCCCTGTAATTTTTTTTTTCAGTATACCTATTTACTAACCAATCAACTTGAATCTCAAAAAGCATATTATGAGGAGAGAATATCAAGAATAGAACAAGAAGCATTATCACAGGTAATATTCAATAAATTATTTGATGAAACAGAGGTACTGTAGTGGGAAGGTGTTGTAGCCTTCTGGATGAGATGCTTGCCTTCCAATCCCAGGGTCCTGGGTTCATTTCCTGTCAGAGTTACAAGATTTTGTTTTCACTTGTATAACTCATACAGTTATTAGCATGTACACGGTTAGATGAAGTAAAATAAAAGATATTCAATTCATTATTTGATGAAATGTGAAGTGTTATCATTGGTAATACCCACTGTATCTGGTTATGTTGCCTGTTTGTAAATGCACTTCAGTCTTGTTCTTTAATGTGTAACACAACATACATACAGTTTTGCATTGTATATATACAGTTTTGGATCGTTTAATTATTAACATCCTCAATCGAGTGCGGTTTAAATTGATAATATATTGTATTTACATGGAGATATACAGTATATATAAAATGCAGAGTATTGTTTTGGCTGAGAACCTTTGTAGTTGATGGAATGATAATTTCTCAATTTTATTTTATTTCTATTTTTCAGAGGTTAGAGTTAGAATCAAGATCCAAGAAAAAAGTAGAGGAATGTGAGAAATATGAAAACCGGGTACAGAATTTATTAAAAGAGAAAACAACATTAGAAAAGAAGATTAGTCAACTAAACAGCAAATTACAGAAGATAAATCAAAATTATATTGAGGAAAAAGAGGTAAAATTTATGATATCTGAAATGATATTTAGAAACATACCTTTTTAAATAAAATGAATAATAATAGGTGAAATATAGGTAAAGGTGGGAGAATAACCCATAACTTGCAGCGTCATTGTGCTAAATTGTGTATGGGCGCGATTCCTGACTACCTAGCAGCCGTAAAGAGGCGCTTCATGGTAGCTACATGTTCACATCATTCCTCGACAGGGGCTGAAATGAACCATAACATCGAGGTAACCCCCTACTCTTTGAAAAGATGCAATGGGTTCTTTAAAGTGCACAAGAACCAGATGTATACACTAGACCACCATTTTAAGTCCTTATCCTAAAAGCCTTGGTCTTACCAACCGAACCATGGACGAGGAGCGGCTGAAACTAGCGCCGATGTTAAGGCTGTAGCCAGCGGCGCCCCTGCCTTACCGCTCGGCCACTCGAATCACTACCAAAATTACCCCAATAGTCCAATGGAACAATCATCAAGTGACATTCTGTGGGTGTTTATGAAATTAGATGATTATCCAATATGTTATATTGAATTATCTAATAATTATCAGAAAAAGTTGAAAAAAAACCAAAAATGAAAGATTGTTTCCAGTTCACAATTATCAAATATAATATCCTAATTAGATGGTAATTTTTAGGTGGGCTTGCTGTAAACTTATAAAGCCTACAATTTAGCAACACTGAACAATTTTTAAAATCAACCAATCAGCTTTAGTTCTTATATAAGTACATGAAAACACATAGTATAATAATTTATTTTTATCTCCAAGTATTTAATATCTTATCATGTTTCATCAGTGTGTTTTGGCTTTACTTATTGCAGATGAACAAAGGTTTACGTTTAAATCAGAAAGTTTGGCAAGATAAAGTGTCAACTCTTGAATCATCAAGCAAAGCTGAGAGAGAAAAGTATCAGAAGGTTGGTAGTGTGCCCACCTTGTGTCTGTTGAATAGCCGAGCAGTTGGCCTAGCGGTTAAGGCAGAGGCACTGCAACTTATAGCCATAATATCGGCGCTGGTTTGAACGGCACGTTGCCTATGGTTCTGTTTGCGGAACAAGTGTTCTCGTATAAGGACTATAAAAACTGTATACCAAGTGTACACACTTGGCTTTTGTGCACTTAAAAGAACCCAGTACATATTTCGAAACGACTAAAGGGTTACCCTGGTATATTGGTCCATACAGCCCCTGTGGCCTTGCGGGTATGGATTTTATGATCCTTTGCATGAGGTACCTTTGTAAACATAAATTCTAGGTGGGTTGAGTATGCTTAGTTGACTATAAAGACAATAAATATTCCCCAGCCCAATTTGAACCTAAGACCTTTTGATTAACATTTGATTAAAATCTAGGTAAATAAAATAATCTGAATGATAGGGCTACAAAGCTGTGTGAATATACTCCCTATGAAATTATGCAAATTAATGTAATGTATGGTATGATTATAATGATAATGATAGAAATATTAGTTTTTGCAACATTGTTTGTTAACTTCATATCTATATATAAGAAAAAAAGAAAACATAATTCAGTTTCCTTTCAACAAAAAATTATTGCTGTTACTTAACTACTGATTACCAAATACATGTTGTTTGTTACAGGAGGTGGCTGATTTGCAGGAGCAGTTAAGAGATGTGATGTTTTTTTTAGAAGCACAAGATAAAATAAAGCAAAGTCCGGCTGGCATCCGCCAAGAGATTCAAGATGGACAGATCCTGGTTGGCTCAGCGTCGGGGACATCAGATTCAAAACCAACTCAGAAGCGTGGGAAGAAGAAGAAATGATCACAAAATTGTAAGAATAATGATGTTAATAGTAGTGATAGTTACAATAGTATTAAACCTTTCATTTGCATACACAAGTTCTTTGACTGGTAACATACACTGTATGCCTGAATTTGGCAAAAAAAAAATTCCGTCCCATGTTTTTAGTATAGGACAATTACACTTCATTTAAAGTTTTAACAGAAAGTAATTAAAGCTCATAATTCTGTTATTTTCATTCATTAACAGAACACCGAGAGAACAGACTGGTTGAATTCTTATTAGTGACAAGAAGGCGGAAATGGAGCCATTGTAGATGTGGAGTGAAGACAAAATGCTGTCATCCTTGAATTTAACTGACCTCGTACCCTCAGCTCCAATAGGAACTAAATATTCATTGGGTGGAGAAACTCAAAAAGATGCAAGCTAAAAGATCTCTGTGGCTTTTTATATAGTGCCTATGCTGAAATTTTGAGTCAGGATTGTGGTGCATGGCCAGAGTGGATAACTTCATTGTTAACATCATAAAGATCACTATATATTTGGTACGGAAATCCCATTCAATCAAAAAACTATCCTATGGTAAATTTTTAAGCATAAAATTATATACTGCAAATATTTGTATGTACATTCATTTTCTATTTTAAATGATAGGTAAATAATTTTACTCAATATATAGCTTTGCTCCCCTTTGAAATGTTTAGAAACAACTGGGTAAACTATAAACCCTTAACTTTACCCAAGCAAACGTCATTTGAAGAAGATATCTGTGATTTTTTTAGTGAATAACATTTGTCTGTCGGAGAGATAAGAACAGCAGTTGTGGTTTTAATTCCTCCTTGTGCATATTAACTATTTTTACTTACCTTTTCCCAAGTGTGTAACTAGGTGCTTAGTAAACCGTGGTTTTCTTAAAATTGCTACAGTGTTCTCAGTGTAATTTCTCAGTCACCGACGCAATCAGGATTAATAATTCGTATTAAGGGAATTTACGCCCACAAACCTTCTAGTTATTAATATTTTGGTTATAATAGAAAATATTTATTTTTTGGTGACGTCACACTCACAATATACTGTAGTGAGCATGCATATGTCATAAGCTAGATTAAGTCACCTTTTCCTGGTAAGGCAAACTTTCCCGGCATGCTTTTCCCATGGATAAACAAACACCACTGCTTTGCACATGGATGCCTTGCCTAGCTAGGGCTACAAGAGCCGCATTGTTAGCATTGTATAATACTTAAACAAGGTACGTCTCCAACTGAATTATTCTTAGTTACTTTTTTTTTCTTATTTTAATTTTTTTCTTTTGAAAGTATACTTTCTATCACATATAATTGCACTGTCTACTTAGGCCTGGGCCTAGTCTTATTAATCTTCATCGTCCCCTGCTACACAGTACATAAGTAGGCTAGCCCCCCCCCCATATAGTACAGACGTTTGCTAGGCAACAGAACATGATTGCACCCTCCTTCCCAGGTGTTCATGTAACATTTGCATATTGTTAGCTAACCAGTTGTGTGTATTGCTTTGTGAAAATGGGTACCGTGGCGTTCTCATTTTCACAAAGCATTTGCATCCCCTCTTGGAAAGACAGAACTTCGAAATAATTGTCTCCATATCTCTGCTAATTTATCACCGTAATTTAGCTTACACTTATGCATGGAGGAAGCACTTAAAATTTACAATAATCATTTCACTACCTGACCCATTTTATGTGAATTGTATTTTTTGAGACGAATAAATGAAATGAAACCCCGAACTTTATTCATGCATTACATAAGTAGTTTCATCTTGCTGTACTCCAACGTCAGTGGCGCATGGTAATAACCAACTGACTGCAGACCATTTCCGGTCACACATTACTCTCCATAACGCAGCACCCCCTAAGTTCCGTCACCTCTGGGTTGCAATGACCAGTGGTAATAGTGGCCATTTGGGAGGGACCCAAGTAAATATCAGTCATGCAACTAAACTAGCGGCACTGGGCCTTTGCTCTGTGTTGGGTCCCGAGTGGAATTCAAGGAAGCCCCTCGTGCTCCACAGTTAGGCCAAATAAAAAAAATGATTGTGTTTGCCTCGCCCGATCGACCCAAATTTTACAAAATTCAGGGTCGGCATTAAATTAAAGTAAATCACCTTTATGTTTGTGAAATAAAAATGCTGACAGTTTTATGTGTGCTTCCTATTACTAATTGATTGTAAATTAGACTAGTATTTCCACTCACAATAGTGTAGTCTCAATTACTTGCACAAAAGTGCACTTCAAAAAGGAGAAAAAGAAAATAAAAACATTTTGATTGATTTTAAAATTACAGTACTGTACTGTACTTGCAGAGACTACATTATGAGTAAATGTTTTAAGTTTATTTTATTTGTTTTTCATGGTTCATGGTTTTTTTTTTTTGTGACTACAAGGAACAATAATTTTTTTTCATGAGCTTACAGTATATGGCTGGAATAGCTTTGGACTAGAATAGGGGCCAAGGCCTAGCCTATTTTGGTGCATGGTATGCGATGCAGATCCAAAATTGTTGTATTATTTGTGTATTTTCTACTTTTTAAGCGTAAACACATTTTTGGTTTAAACAAAAAAAAAGTTTTCCTACCCATTTTTTGGGATTTTCCCAAAACGTGGCCAACACAATTTTTTTTTTTTTTTTTTTGCCTTATCGGGTGTATTTTAATTAGATGCATGTTAATTATGGATGAAAATTGACGATGTTCGATTGTGAAGGTCTCCCTAAAACTGTGGTTTTGTGGTCTTTTGCATCTTTGGTCTTTAGTTAGAAGGAATATTATTTGAGATGGTCTGTAATGTGGGGTGGGGGGGGGGTTCCTTAATTAAAGGGAGACCTGTAATTATTTGAAGATAATGTAACAATGACTACAGCCTGTATGCATGTTTCTGACTCAACTATAGCTGTATATTAATGTACTGGTATTAAAAAGTAACAAAAGTTTTAATATAGATCTCATTTAGTTTAGTTGATAAACATGATTTATACACACGTAGTGTTTTCAGGAGGCACCAGAGATTCTCCAAAAAAGAGTTCAACGTTCTCAGCTCCTTTATCGTTAGAGCTGATGTGAGCTAATTTTTAGGCACCTGTATATTCGCGTTCTGTAAAAGCAGTGTACGCCAACAAATTCTTCTCCAATGCAGGGGGCCCGGGGTTCTCCTTCTCCGCACTGATGCTGACACTGTCACTATATTTGTTGGATGTCATAATACAATGTGTTTGCAATCACGATATATGCCTATGTTCTATTTATAGAAGCAATATTATATACTTTTCAAGCCCGTATCCAGGGGGGTTGGTTCGTTGGGTTCGAACGAACCCCCTTTTCATGAAGTGCCCTTTCAACAAAGGCTGGCTAGCCTACACTTTAGGCCTAGCCTAGAGCCTATCATCATTAAAAGTCCTACTTTAATACCCGATTGTTAGGCCTACCTAGTAACATAAAAAATTCAGGCCCCGAACCCTTGACTCAGACATACCGGGATGGTGTCCGGCGGGGGATAGTTTCACCTGTGTGTATATATATATATGATTATAATACGCTACAACCAACCATACAAATTTGTCCCGGTTCTTTTTGTTACTGATTGTCTAGTAAGTGAGTATAGTATGTTACAACTTCCGAAGTGCTATATAAATAAAGAATAAACCATACTGGATTCTTTGGAGTTTGTAACATGCTGCTGTTGTTAAATTACCAATACTGTAGTACTAAAGTAGTAGTTTTTTTATTTTTTTATTTTTTTTTCCCAACTCAAAAAATTACCTCTTTAATATATACATTTTTTTTAATGTTTGGCCTCTCAAATCAATTAAATAACACCTGTAAATGCTTAGAATGCTGGACCCCCACCGGGGTTTTGGCCCTGGACCCCCGGAGGCCCTTGGCGGCCCCCCTGGCCCCAGCCAATGGTGCTCGCAAGTGCCCTTTCAGTATCAAAAAGAACCCCCCTACCAAAATCCTGGCTACGGGCTTGCTTTTGTTAAAGTTGCAATATGTATACTTTTTTTAAAGCCACCATGGTCCAAGACCGATAGACCAATATGCTCTTGTGTAGTAATATAGCATGGAATGGTGTCAAATAAATTATGGATAACATTATTGTTGATGTGAGTTTTTGAAGTCAATAACTGATTTGTTTCTTTGAATGATCTACCGGTACCTATATATAATTAATATTTGGGGGTTTTTTTTTAATTTTATTTTTTACACAGTATCTTTAATAAAGTCCCCACTCACCAATGCTCCCAAATAACTGATCACCAATATTAAATTGTTATTAAATTAATATTATTATTAACATGCAAAATTCTTCTAAGTAAACCAATGGAAATACGTACTACTTGTCGATTTGATTCGTTGGTTTCGTTGTTGATCTTCATTAGATAAGGACTGGGTTTGTTAACGACAAAAACAATTAAAAAAAAAAAAAACGACAAACAGATACACTCTAGTTCTATAGAAATAAGTGCGATGTATATAAACGGATTTTTTATATTGTTTCTGTCGATAAATTATATAATAATGAACATGAATTTATTCCCATGATGTAGGCCTTAATGGGAATAAATTTTATGACATTTTTTTTTTAAATATTCATGCCAGTGATCATATATACGGTAATTTAATGACAGAAAAAATATAAAAAACGTTTATCAACATTAGTGTTCCCACATGGCATTGACTTTATTCTACAGAACTAGTAACCATAGTACCGTAAAGCCGGGCACTAACTGCGTACGACTGTCGCGTTTGTAGGGGGTAACTGTGTATAGTCAGGGGCGAGTTTGTAGGGGGTAACTGTGTATAGTCAGGGGAGAGGTTGTAGGGGGTAACTGTGTATAGTCAGGGGAGAGTTTGTAGGGGACGAGATTGCAAGGGGAAAGTATGTAGGGGACGAGATTGCAAGGGGAAAGTTTGCTAGGGGGCGGGGCACATAAGACGGGCCTCTGGAGATCGGGGCCATGGTTCAACGAACCGCTTGCCTGCGGTAGTTAAGCCACTAGTTAGTAACGTCACTGCATTTCCCTTCTTTCTCTTTACTCCGACGTTTGAATCGGTTTCAGTTAACAAAGACATGAACAAATTTCAATTGTGCGTATTACATTTTTATTGAAACTCAAAAACGCCAGCCTCTTAGGCTATGTTCAGACAAAACGAGTTACGCTAGCGTAACGTTAATTGAGTGGTATGAACGTACTGGCGTACGATAGATTCCAAATTAGCGTAGGGGCCTACGCCACTGAGTTATGACAGTTATGCAGTAATGATTCGGATTCGGTGTGAATCTATCTTAATTAAGATGAAATTAACAGTTGATGATCTTCACTCATAGTGGCCATCATGATCTGATCAAAATGGTCACTTGATGCAACTCATAGTAATGTTATTGTTGCTACTCAGAAATATTAGTCCATTAGGAAACAAGATTTCTAGAGGCAAATTTCCGTATTATAAAACGTTTTTAAATAATAAAAGTAATAATAATTAGTGCAATAATATAAATGAATGTATTTAATACTAAATATTATGGTGCAACAAACATATCGTATCATCAAATCATTTTGGAGGATTTATTTTCCAATAGGAATCTCGCATACGTATGGCAACTTTTTGTCGCAACGGAGGTCATTCCAGGTCAGGTAATTACCATTCCTTTTCCATTGGTGAACACAATTTTCCTTTCCTACTACACGGTTATTGGGTTCACCGCCGGGTAGCCATCTCTTGTACCTGTATGGTGATTTGTCCGACCAACGCCAAGTACTGCCCGACCTCCTCAAACCAATCCAGTATGTGTATCCATCTGCATCGGGATTATTGTTATAAGTTTTCCAAAGCGTGAAAACAAATTTGTTTTCTTCTTCACTTCCGATGGAGACGAGATTACCATATGAGTTTTCGCAGGAGGAGCAATCCTTACTTGCCTCATCCCAAGTCTTTAAAGATGCGTAGAATCGATAGCACTTATTTCCATTTTGAACCCAAAATTTTGGACATTTTGGACATTGAGAGCCATCAGAAGGGCTTGCAGCCACCGCAATGATGATACCAAGTAGCAATACCTATCAATAGAAATATAGAACATATAATACTAAATGAAAACTTCTTAAATTATACTGATTATTATACCTATTACCCAGTTTGTAGTCCCTGTTGGGAATTTAATGTAATGTAGATAGATTTAAATAGCGCACCGAAACGGTCTCAATGTCCTCGAGATGTGGACTACAGTAGGCCTATATACCGTAGCTCTTACAGTAACTTGCTTCTCCCCTAAGGGTCTCTTCATGTCTGAGCTACCCGGTAGCGTATACCAGCTACTCTCGTCAGTCCACAACAGGGGTATCCCACTGATCTGGGGTAGCATGGGTTCCAGGCCCTAAATTTTGGTTAATCACTCTTTATTGCGATTATTGCGCGCCATACCTAATTTATTTGGTGTCCCATACTCGATTTCTTTTTTTCGGATTATAATTATTCTCAAAATTAACTAGCTTGTTGGTGGCGCTGTCCAGAATGATAAAAAGCAATACTAATAAGGGACTTGTGTAGAGTAAAATTCCCTGGTTCCCTGGTTCTTTTAAGTGCACACGAGCCATATTGTGTAAATTGGGCCTACAGTTTAATTACAGTCCTTATCCGAAAAGATTTGTTATGCAATCTCTAAACCGTCTTGTTAATGATATAAAATATAAATTGTATAAGAGGAATCTGCTAATATAAAAAAAAAATGCTGCTCCGCCCCAGTGGAGGGAGCGAGCCAGCAGCGGTTAGTAGGAAAATTCCCACCCCTATTGGTAAACTTAGTTTGGACCACCACCGACGCCCACTACGAGATCGTCGGACTAAACACATTAATTTGCTGATCTAAATAATCTGATGTATTTGAATTGAAAACGTTTTCTGATAAGATCATTTGCAATGACATCAAAGAAACAAGCTTCGTGTGACAATTAATAATCCTTTGCTTTATCCAAAATATATGTTCTTGTTCGGTTGCTCTTTAGTATAAAGAAATGATTTCTCTCTTGGAAGAACACCTTTGGTGAATGGATATTAAAATGTATTCGGCTTTTCCTGTACATACAAGCTGGAAAGTCATTGTTTTTTCTGATTTTTTATCGGTTAAACTTTCTTTTTTTTATTCTGGCCCTATGGGGCTTCCCGGGTTTGCAAAAAAGCCCGGTTGTTTTGTCCTGATTTTTTTTTTTTTTTTTTGGGGTCCACGCAAGTTTTTTTTTTTTTTTGGGGGTCCGCGCAAGGCGCTGACCCCAGAGCCTTTACTGTTCTAGTTACCAAAACTTTAAAAGCGCTCAGCGTCGCCAGTTTTGAACGGACGTGTAGCAAATTTTGTACATTGTACACATAAACTATAGGTGATTTCCAACAAAGGTTCATCGCCCCGTTTTAAAGTTGAACCCCAGGGTTCTTCATCTACTAAACGAATCAAAGACCGAGATAATCCATTTTGTTTCCAAATTCTCAAACTATAGTCCCATAAGCACTGTTATGATTGGTTCTACTGCTATTGATGTCAAGGCAGAAGTCAGGAACCTGGGTGCTGTATTCGATTCATCAATGCAAATTAAGCAACACATTAAAAACATCTGTAAAGCATCATATTCAGGAATCAGGAAAATAGGCAGCATTAGAAAGTACCTTGATAGAAGAACAACAGTCAGACTGGTACATGCCTTCATTACCTCACGCCTGGATTGGTGTAACAGTCTCTTGTATGGATTACCTAGGTCTGAAATTGCTAAACTACAGCGGATACAGAACACAGCAGCTCGCATTGTAACACGCAGTAAACCATTTGCTCACATAACCCCAATCCTCAATGACATTCACTGGCTGCCCATTGAGAAGAGGCTTATCTTCAAGATACTGCTCACCACTTTCAAAGCTCTTCAATCAACAACTCCTGCTTACATTACACAACTGGTCAACCCTCACCACTCAGTTCGCATTCTTAGGTCATCATCTCAACTCAGACTGCAAAATCTGAGAACATCAACATCTACATATGGTGATAAAAGGTTCTCTGTTGCTTCGGCACAACTTTGGAACACGCTACCTTGCGATATTAGTTTTCTTCCTTTAAGTGTGCTTTGAAGACGCACCTTTTTGGTGCACTCTAATTTTTTATATTTAGTTTTTGTCATAGACAGCTAGATAACCACACCATTATGGTATGCTGTAATTAATGTACTGGCCGGTCTTGCACCTTAAATTGCCATTGAACGGTGCGGTGGTGATGGTTTTTCACTTTCTTGGCGGTCTTGGTTAGTTTTAGGTTATTTCGTGTTTTAGTTTTTTGGGGTTTTTTTTTTCTTCTATTTTTCTGTTTATGTGAAGCGCATAGAAGCTCCGGCATTATGCGCTATATAAATAAAACATTATTATTATTATTATTCTCCCTACACCTACAAAACAAAACAAGAGTTTCAGCAAAGGATCGGACTGTACATTACTGCCATTACCACTAATAGGACACGTCGCATGGGTGGCGCGGTCGGTTCTAAAGAAGTTAAGGTTGTGAGTTTGAATTGCGTCTTGTACTTCTTTTTTTTTTTCAATTTCATTTTTAAGAAAAATTTTTTTTTTCAATTTTAAGATATTTTAATTCTGTACAAATGTATATTCTAAATATTTTTTTTTTACTACAGATGAACATTCTAATTATTTAGAAATTTCTTTCTTATTAGCTCTTCAAAAACACCTGAGGAACGCTCGGACCGGTGAAAGGTCGCTATTGTTTCGTTGTGAAAGTAGGGGGGGGGGGTGGTTTTTCCGCACTGGAAAAATTTAACTACTGTAAAATCTAACTGTTGTCCACCCATCTTTTATAACACATCTCAATTTTGTAAATAGTTTTATTTAATGCCAGGGAGCCTTAATCAGTTATAAAAACTGCTTTTCACAGGGTACTCAACCAACATAAATACAATACATACCGTAAGAAATCGTTCAAACACAAGAGAAACGCACATGTTATACAAATTTAAATATCAATAAATCAAAATCAGCATACAATTGAATTATAACGGTTAAACTGCTTAAAAATATAGAGTTATTAGTGCATAAAAACTTATTTTTATTATTATTATAAATATATAAACCCATTGTTTTACAAAATAAGATCCTTCTTTGTTCATAAAAAAACACTAAATTATGCGGACCCATTTTAATAGTTGGAGATATTTTC